CGACTCCGCCTGTCGCAATTATTAAAGAGCATCCGCTTTAATCCGCGTAGAAACGGCCGCGTTTCGCGACGGCGGCGGCGGCGTTCACGCGCGCGTGGAAAATATGCTAATACACGGTATACACGGGGCGGCCCCGCCAACGTTGTACGCAGATAAACGGAATGGCACGGGCGCAAGCGTGTTCTGACCGTCTCTGAAAATGTGTTTACAGCGTGTTAGGCGGTCGATCATGCGTCACTGATGCACAGAGGCGCCGCGGTGCCTTCATTCTTTGACGTTCCATTATGCAAAATCGTCTTCCGCGTCGTACCGCCGACGCCGACGCCGACGCCGAATGCCGAACGACGCGTGGACGATTTGACGTGAATTCACGCTGATGATGCCGAAGCCAACCGCCAGACAAAATACTGCCCATCAACGACGAACGCGCCGCGACGAAAATTGAAAAAGGATGAACGGCCGCGACCGGCCAGATCGAACGTCGACGAAGAAAGCGTCAAAGGAATATACAAGGTGTCACTTGCAGCACGATCGTACGTCGAAACATTCTTCTAGCGTCTAATTGAAAGAGGGAAAGAGAGAGAGAGAGAGAGAGAGAGAGAGAGAGAATAAATTATTTATTTAGCATTTTGGAACGCGTCCCGTCAAGTGCAGAAATTTCAATGCGTGTGATAAAGGAAATTTAAATCGAAGCATCGCAGAAGAAAATAGTACGACGGTATCTGCATTGAGTGTAGCAAAATTGTGGCATCAACACATACGCTAGACGTACGTAATATCATCGTCGGCTAAAAATCGGCTTGAACGGCCTCTTCGGCAAATTTTCGAGCGGACGAAACAAAACATCGAGGAAAGAATCGCTCGAGATAAACGCTCGTCAGTCTGCGAAAATACCGTTTCTCGCGCAAGAGGAACACCCGAAAAGAAAGTCCAAGAGCATTCTAGAATGGCAAGGCGATTCCGCGGCTACCGGTCGGATAACGCTTCGTCTTTTATGTTTATTATCGCAGAGAAATCTGAGGGAAAAAATTGAAAAGCCCGAATAAAGAACAGGAAACAAGCGAGGAGGATATATCCTCTTTGACCAGAGGCAACATGCGGCGCGGAAGCGAGGCGAGGGTGAGACGGAGGAAGGAAGGGCGATGGGAGGAGAGGGCAGGGAGAGTCGCGGGATGACGGATGGAGAGAGCAGGAAGCGACACAGGAAGAACCGGAACCTATTACTCCAGATAACAACTTCCCTAAGGCTTCCCTTTCCTACCTTCGGCTACATTGACCTGCCGTATGTATGTCTGTATGTATGTACGTCTGTATATACGTTTCGATTTTTGTACATACGATCCTCGGCAATCCTTGGCAAGCTCGGCCGGCGAAGGAGAGGGTGCGGAACCCGGAAATTTACCACTTCTGTTGCCATTTTCCTCGGCGGCCGCCTGCCGCTGACCGCGCAACTGGTGGTATACGTATGAACGAGTGGAGAGCGCCGGCTATCTTTATCGAAATCTGTTGAATATAGTCGCGCGACTCCGATATCTATCCGCCAACCATTAATCCGCAACTAACGACGCTCTACTGAGAAAAAAGGATTACGGCGGTCCCAATTAATGACAGCATTATAATTTGTGACGGTCGCACCGCTTGCGCTTGATGAGTCGGCTCATACTGGCGCGTATTAATCTTAAACGTGTGTGTTCTTGCTTTAAATTGTAACACCCGAAAAAAAAATAATTTCAAAACAAGTAAAATCATCTAAATTTTAGAGGATTTTATTCTTATATATAGCCTCAAGAAGAATCCTCTAAGATTAAGAGGAAAATATTATAAACACATTATTCTTAAAGTTAGAGAAATTATGTGTTATACGTATAATGCAAATCTTACTGATTTTAATATAAATTTCCTCTTATGCAGATTATTTAATCTTTTTTTTTAAAGGATCATTATTTATTCTTACTGGTTATACTAGTTAATTTGAAATAATTATTATAATGTATAACGAAAAGCAATATATATACATATGGTGTCCCATTTTAAAGGATCCACTCAAATATCTCGGAAACACTGCGTTAAATCGAAAAATGTTTCAGACAAAAGTTGTATGGTTTCAAGGGGTACATAAAACAACTATATCAGTTTGTTTATAGATGGCACCACTTTCGAGATATTCATTGATCATTACTTTTCTTAAATGGAAACCCCAATTTTTTATTATATCTTTTTCTACTAGTTAATTTTAACAACTTTTATCTAGAAGATCTTTCTATTTGCCTAATATTTTTTGAGATATTTAAAAGAAACTTGGTAACTTTTGCAATATTTAACCTACAATATTTCACTATTTGTCCGAAGAAAAAACAGTGCTAGACATTTTCACTCCATTTAGTCTAAGAATTGGTATAAGAATATATTGTTACAATAGCGCCCTGACTTGTGTTAATTTGATGATTTTGAAATTTCCAAAGATCAATAAGTTAATAAAAGTTAGGATACTATTGTAACAATATGTTCTTGAGACCAAATAAAGTAAAAAAGTCTAGCACTGTTTTTTCTCCCGACAAATAGCGAAATATCATAGGTTAAATACTGAAAAAATTACCAAGTTTCTCTTAAATATCTCAAAAAATATTAGGCAAATAAAAAGATCTTCTAGATAAAAGTTGTTAAAATTAACTAGTAGAAAAAGATATAATAAAAAATTGGGGTTTCCATTTAAGAAAAGTAATGATCAGTGAATATCTCGAAAGTGGTGCCATCTGTGAACAAACTGGTATATTTGTTTTGTGTATCCCTTGAAACCATACAACTTTTGTCTGAAACATTTTTCGATTTAACACAATGTTTCTGAGATATTTTAGTAGATCCTTTAAAATGGGACACTCTGTATATATAAATGTACTTCTGGCTCCAGTTCTACATTAAATAGACACGAATGAAATAAGATCACCATAACAAATAAATTTCCAATCAGTTTTGTTATGGATTTCATAACTACAAAGATGTTCATCATAACTAATTGTATGAAACATAGTTAAAAGAAAAAATATTTTATTCAACTTCTCACAATAGATTATAAACTATATATTTGATCAAATATAGGTAAATTATCTTTGTTATATGTTATAGCAACACACATACCTTTTTTAAAAAGCATTCCAAATATTTGGACCCATGAGCATATGGTTATTTTTTCGTTCATGTTTGGAGGTAGAGTATGACTGAACAAAAGAAGCCGACATTCAAATCAACATATTCCTCTTTATATAAGAAGAAAATTGATACAAGAGAAAATCCTCTTGAAATAAGAGGAAAACAGTTAGAATGATATCTAATAAATTTTAGATGAATAGTTCATTTTAATTGCTTTATCGAAAGAGGAATTCTTTTTCTGTAAAAGGCTTCGCTTAAAATATGAGACTATGGGAAAAATCACTTTACAAATATAATACTTTTTTTTTGGGTGTCAAATATTAGAATTTCTCTATAAGTTAGAAAAATATGACACAATTGAGACTCTAAATGTTTAAGCTTTCCGACAAAATCAGTACTTCGTTTACTGAGACATATATTATCAACTGATTAATTTATTTTCACGTTAAAGTTACTCGGTTAGCAATTGGGACATTCGTCTTAATAACTTACTCTGATTATAATTATTTTCAGTCGACCGCGAGGTATTGTGGTTCTAACAAAAAAAAATGATAATAGTAATATGCATATAACATTATTATCGCCGATATTAATTGTAAAAATGGTTCTCCTGGCTCACTATATCATTCTTTTGCCGTGCGATTACGCTTACAAGTGCCGTGCACTTTTTCCTCAATGTTTTTTCGCATCGAAAGAGAAAGAAAAAATATGAGTTCGTCGATCACGATGGTGTCATCAGCTGTCGTTGTTCGAACTTCCGTCGTTTCTCATGAACGTTTTCCAACTCGGCCAGCGAGGGATAATCACGCGTATCGAGAATATCCGCGCTTGTAATCGCGCGTCCGACCACCGAAAACTCGTTATCGGCTGAAAGAGACACCCTCCTCGATGTGAGCGTCCGATATCAGCGAGCGATAGCGTCGCGATGCAACGGCCGGGGACGAAGACCGTAAATCCAGTTTTATCAATGTTTTCGGAACCGTCGGGCTGGACGAGAGGATTAGCGATGTCGTACTTTATGCAGGTCAATTGAACCATTGGTGGCAGCGGACATGCGAAGCGTGAAAAGGACGAGATTCGGGTCGAAATGGAAATGGGCGTCGCGCGGTGGCGGCGGCGGCGGCGGCGGCGGCGGGGACGCCGCCGACGCCACTGCTGCTAAATGGGCCCCGGAGCGGGTTACCCAACTGTTGCGCCTTCATCAGAAATTTATGCAGAATCCCGGGTTAACCGTCCCGGCCAATCAGCTTTGTAACCGAGCTAACGTCGTACCGACGAGAGAACGAGAGCGAGGGCAACCCTGATTTAGTAAAAAGGTATTTAATATTTCACACGTATGCGGCTTACGTCGCGACCGAGCTCCGACATAGCTTCGGTGCTCGCTGCTCGAGAACGAAAAAGGGGTGAGACAGAAGGGGAGGAAGACCCCTCATCGATTGTTCACTCGTGGCCGAATCACTTTTTCCATCGAGCTATTTTCGAGTAGCGTTCGACATACGCGAACGACGACTGCAAACGCACGAAGGTTCAAGAGACGCTGAAGTTTGAGAGAACAAGGCGAAGGCCACGTACACTCGACTATCTGGATGTTAGATAAATCTGATTTCCGCGCGGGAAAGTCGCGTTCCCCGCGATTTATTTTCATTAAACGAGAAGGGGAAGACGAAAAAGAGAGGAAACGTTACACGCGCAATATAAAGCTAATTTTTCCAACATCCGCGACCCTTCCTTAAAACAAACGAGATTACGTTCCGTGTCCGAGGGAAAACACGGCGAGAAAGAGTGATAAAGTAATTAGAGTGTCACGGGAATATTCCGATGGGCCTCTGGAAAGTGGACCACGAAACACTTACCCACTAGTGCCAAAATTACTGTCAGCAGGGAGGCGGCTGGCAACGACACGGTCAGATTGAACTCCAGCATTTGTATGAGATCAACTGAAACAGAAGGAACGACAGAGCGTGTTTTAATATCCTTTTCCTGTGCGCACGTGCTCTAATTCTTCGTATATTGATACTACCTCGTATTAATAATATTAATAATAATATGTATAATAAATTATACATCGAATATTCGCATATATTGTATATATATTTCTACTTCAAAATTATTTTTTAGATTATATATAAATTATGCATATAGAATGCTATTATACAGGGTATATATAAAAAATACCGGGACGACGAAATATCTGGAAAACTAAGCACTTTAGAAAGAAATGTTTCAAACAAAAGTTGTATGGTTTCAAGGGAGACATGAAAAAATTATATCATTTTGTTTAGATGGCGCCACTTTCGAGATATTCACTGATCATTACTTTTCTTAAATGGAAACCCCAATTTTTTATTACATCATCTTTTTCCATCAATCAATTGGACAACTTTTGTCTGAAACATTTTTTTATTTGCCTAATATTTTTTGAGATATTTAAGGAAAACTTGGTAACTTTTTAATAATATTTAGCTTACGATATCTTGGTAACTATTTGTCGGAAGAAAAAATGGTACTAGACTTTTCTTACTTCATTTGATTTTAAGAATATGCTGTTACAACAGTGCCCTAACTTTTGTTAATGTAATGACTTTTGGAAATTTCAAAATCATCATATCTCACGCGTTACTTAAAACCCTATAATCCTTTTGTATTTAACATTCTTTTTCTATCTTGCATATTTTAAAAGTTATCCAAGTGGCCTGTTTTAGGTGCCTCATCCTGTATATGTATGTATATATACATATACATATGTGTGTGTGTGTGTTATTTCATTAGACACATTAAATACATAACATGAATACAAGGTATCTGACATGACGTTATACCTTCAGCAGTGACCAAAAAGTGCTGCAACGGTTCGTATTTTATTGTAATTTCTTCAAAAACGCCTCAAAATCTCTTCAAAAATATCATATGTTTATAACACCTACAAAACTGTGATACACAAACACACATAAGAGTACTCTTGCGCGTGCACGTACATATGTTATGTGTGCGGATAGGTGGGTGTGTAGTCACTTAAATTCATCGCATAGATAGGACGCTCTATGGAAATGGTTACTCCAGTGGAGGAAGAACTCGAATTTAATATTTATCAGGCACATCGTAGCGGTGAGACGACTCGGTGCGAGAGCGCGGAAGGTTATTACATAAGTTCAGCAACACCGTGAAGGAATCGTGTCGCGTTCGACGAGACGACTCAAAGCTCGATACGAATTAATTTCGAAACTTCGTCAATCTTGATTTAAATTCCACGAAACTTTCTATCGCGACCGCTTTAAGCGACCGCGCCTCCGTGCAGCAGGTTGTGTATTGATTTATTTCTCACGCGCGCGTCTTCCCGCCACGTATAAATATGCCCCAAACGCGGAGAGGATGTACGCGAGCGAGTGATCTCGCTCGCTGTCGAAAGAACGAGATAGAAAGAGAGAGAGAGAGAGAGAAGGGGGGCGGGGGCGGGAGAGGGGAAGGTAGCTCCTCCCCCTCTTCATCCATTTTCTTCCTCATGGTTACACATCGCCGCCACCGTCGTCATCGTCGTTGTTGTCCGTTTGATTTAAAGGCGCGGAGTGACAGCTTTGTGTTTACGACTCTTTCGGATAATCAGCTACGTCGGGCTGCTGCAAGCGTCGTAAGGAGAGAGCCGAGATTCAAGGCTAGATTAAAAATTCATAATCGCGCCCGTCGTCCGTGCGGCCGGGCGCCATGGGTGCAACAAAGCAATTAAAAAGTTAATACCGTCACTCTCGTGCTGGACGGCCGCCGCGGCGCGCCGGCGAGCGAGCCGCGCCTTCTTTATGGGGCACGCGGTATCGTACTTTGCAAATTTGTGCGCGACACTCCTCTGGCGGTTCAATTTAATGAATTTTAGATTTTAACTTATCATCCACTAACTCTCCGCCCTCCGGTTATTAAAACTTGCGCCGCGGTCCTTCGTCCTATCCCGCATAATCTCCTCTCTAACCAGCGCCACGTGTATCTTATATTTATTCTCTCTTTTCTTTCGTTCTACTTTCTCTCTCTCTCTCTCTCTCTCTCTCTCTCTCTCTCTCTCTCTCTCTCTCTCTTTCTCTCTCCTCTTTTCCTTTTCTACTATTCGTTCCGCTTCCGTTCTAATTAGATCCGTTATATGTGTCACTAAATATATGCTCGAAAATTCATTCTAAGCGCCCGTGAGTTACGTTAAATCTCGGTTCACCCCGGTGACAATAAAATCGAATAGCCTATCCGATAATTATATAGAAAAGCTCATACATCTCGGATTTCTTTTATTTGAATTATATGTAATTTATAATTTATATATTATGAAAAGCGAAATTCTCTGAGTCACCTGTACTCTAAATGCAAATAGTTTCCGGAATATATCACTTGTATTGTACAGTAGTTTTATCCTTCGTTACATCATTCTTCATCGCTGTCATCATTCGTATTGTTGTCCATGCTTTATATCTCTCTCATGTTTACATGGCCTAGTTTCTGTAGAAATACTCTTCGAATATTTCTCTTTCGCCATGCCGAGTGTATCGTATACTAAAATAACAGATCCTAAAGAAATTATGGCGAAAGCATCTACGCGAGATTTGAGTTTAGATATGTAAGAAAATTTATAAAGAAGTTTTTAATTTATAAAGATTTTAATGTTAAGTTGCTTAAGCTCAAACATCATGCGTGTAGAATCCTTATTAATCTTTTCAAGATCTGTTGGTTCAGTGAGATAGATTCTCAATTCTTCAATTTAACAAGGCGATAAATTTGAATATCTTTGATAGGCGGTCCGTGCAATGTATTCGGAGAAATTGATAAGCGCGCGTGTAAATAAAAATGTAAACACAGAAGAATAACACACGTGTGTTTGAGGAGTGAGAATAACGAAGAATATCTCGCTCTCGATATAATTCAACGTAAAATCGCAAAATAATTGTAATTGTAAAAGCTACTAAAAACTCCGTTCTTTCTAATATATATTCAAAACAAAAAAATTTGGAATCTATAATCTTTTATATATTTTTTTTTTTTTTTTAATACTTTCTGAATATTCACGGAAAATTCGGATATATTTTTATTGCGAATAAATCTCACGGAATAAATTTTCAGAATGTAACGTGACAACGTGAAAGTTTAATGTAATCAAAAGTCTTGTGTAATTTTCAAAATCGATTTCTCTCTTATGCTTCTCTCCAGAGGCACAGTGTAACGAGAAAACTGGCAAAAGAGAAGAAAGATGAGGGAAGTCTAAGAGTCACTGTAACAAAAGCAGACTAGCGGAAATATCATAAACATGAGCGGGAAACGGGTGGGATGAGCGAAAACTTGGTCGGCCATAAACCGTCTGACGCGAAACACCCAAAACTCGCAGATGGATGGAGGAAATATGCCGCCCTTCGTGCTGTTTTTCTATGCAAATTTGTATTTCAAACGATTAACCTGCGAAAATAACTTCCCTCGTTGCTCCCGTTTAAACTTTCAATTTCCTCTTTCTTTTTTTAAGCTAATTTTCGATGGAAGCGTGAAAAAAATCACCAAACACCTCGCGCCGTTTTGTCAATGTTGCAAAACGGAAGACAGAGAGAGAGAGAGAGAGAGAGAAAGAGAGAGAGAGAGAGAGAGAGAGAGAGAGAGAGAGAGAGAGAGAGAGAGAGAGAGAGAGAGAGAGAGAGAGAGAGAGAGAGAGAGAGAGAGACAGACAGACAGACAGACAGAGAGAGAGAGAGAGAGAGAGAGAGAGAGAGGGGGGGGGCGATTAAGACCAAAATCAAACCTCGCCCCTAAAAGTTTGTTTAATTAAATTAATTAAGTTTAAGTTAAGTTTCAAAGATAAACAAACGCACAAAGAATACTATTTATCGATTACCTCGAAAATTCATAATTTCTCCAGAAAAACAAATGTTGGTTACAAGATGAAGGTTTTATTGTTATTTCAAGATTAGTCTCTGGTGACAATATATTTTATACACATTGTAATAATTAATTATTACATGGAATATAATATATACATTAAACATATAAAAATATACACACACATATATATATATAGCATAAAAATTTAACGTAATAACAATGACATTCGATTGTTACGCATGGAATGAATCAGCAATAAGAGAATACCAGGAATGCTAATCGCTATTACAGATGATAAATCTTGATTTTAGATTAGTTCGCGAAATTTTCAAGACTATTTGTCACTTTATCAATTGCAATGTCACTACTACGATAACGATAATACAGCAAAACATCGTTAGCGATACGATACACTGTATCTTCTCCAAGTTAGAAAAAACAGCACTGAGAAGTGTGTAAATATATATTTCTCGGAAGTGTCAATGATAGTTAATCGATCATAGATGACGATACAAATATTCACAGAGCACAAGCAGTTCAGAATGCATTATCTCGACGTGTGGAAAATTTCAGCGCTCTTTCACGAATTAATAGCATCATAAAAATGATATTCCTATATTCTCAACACTCTGTATTGCATATTACAAATTCAATCCAGTTGTAATTTCCGACAGCATTTTTGCGAAAATCACGATTCTTGTCGAAATCTCTCTGAAGGAATTATTTCTCGAAGATTTCTATCTGCACTTTTCTCATGAGTTGACGAGTGAAAATTGAGAAAGAAACAATATTTTTAAAATTTAATATGTATATTTTCATAATCATTAATTAAATTTGCTTTCGAATACCTTTGCAAATACTTCTTTCGTGTTCTGTAATCTGCACTGTTCTATATACATTAATAAGAGATATCTTGATAAGAGATGATAAGAATGAAATATACATTTTTTTATCGATGAGATATAAAAATATTAAGCCAGTTAACCTGTAATTGTTATTTTTGCAATGGAATAGTCAAGATGTCTCTCAATTACTCGACCTACTGTTTTTCTGTGCTCATAAACTTGCTATCTAATTCCAGAGGATGAGTCATGTCTAACGAGCGACGATCACTGATGTGAAACGTCCTCTCTCACGACTGATACGTGGCAAGATCGAGCTTTGGACTGTTAAGGAAAACATCGAGCTGCACTGTCATCGAATTATTCGTATTACGTGGATTACGTAAGCGACATGGGAGCAACAATGAACGAACCGAAACAACGGCTGCTCGCTTCTGCCGTACTTTAGAAATGTTCCGTGTCAAAAATAATATCGGATAAATTCAATTTTAATGTTTCCCTTTTCCTCATGTTAAAAACGAAATGAGAATATATGTCGCAGCAACGGATATATATCGCGGTAATAACGACATCCTCTTTCATGGGCCCGAATGGAACGTCTCACAGCAATAAGACTTTACTTTGACACTTTAATATTCCATTAGTCCATAAACACGGGTTACGTAATAGTCATTTCAAGCTAACGAGTGACGCAAACTCGACAATCTACGCATTTTGCCACTGTGTTCAACATGATACCTAGTCTTCCCTTGACCTTCCTCACTGGCAGAATAGAAAACACATACATATAATTCTCATTAGCAAGAAACAAATATGTAACACGCAAGCGGAAGAAAATACACATTTACGCTAGACCTTCGCGTCGCAATTAAACCAGTTCGTAGATTTCGATCGCATTCGAGAGCAGTCTTGTTTACATACGCATGTCGAATATCCTAATTATAGAACGACTAAACAACTACGGTGTAGAATAAACTATTCCCCCCCCCTCACCTACTACAATAAACGATTTCACTTCTGCCTCTTCTCCAAGGCGATCCAGAATCCCTTCTCGGGCAACAACGCAAACTGCTTTTTGTCGAACACGATGGGCTCGGAGGTCTTCTCCGTGGTCTTGAAGACGAACCTGTGAATAAGGTGAGCTATCAACAGCTTCGTCTCCATGAGAGCGAAGCGATTGCCGATGCACTTTCTGGGTCCGTGGCCGAAGGGCACATAAGTATATGGTACGATATTGTCCTTGTTCTCTTCACTGAACCTCTCAGGGTCGAACTTGGAGGGGTTCGGAAAGTACTTGGGGTCATGGTGCAGCGCGTAAACAGGTGTCCAAGTCATGGAATCGGGCTCGATGATGACGCTCTTGCAGCCGGGCTTCGCCGGCGGAAGCTCGTATCTCTTGGCGCAGAGCCTGTCGATGAAGATCACCGGCGGATACTTTCGCAAAGCCTCCGACACTACCATGTCCATGTAAACCATCTTCGACATTGCCTCATACGTGATCTCACCATTACCCTCGGCGAAGTGCCTCTCCACCTCCTCCCACAAGCGATCTTGGATGTCCTGATGAACTGCGAGCTCATGGGCGACGAAGCACATGAGTGTCGCGGACGTCTCGAAGCCGGCGAAGAAGAAGATGAAGGCTTGCGCTACAATGTCGTCCAAGGTCATCTCATGCACATTGGGGCCTTCCTTGTCCCGAGCTTGCATCAGCAAGTGAATCATGTCCGGTCGAACGATACCCTGCTCTTCGCGGACTTTGATAGTCTCCGCCACGATCCTTTTGAAGAACTGCGACGTAGCCGGCGGGAAGAAGCTCATGCCCAGCATCTTCCCCAATCGCGGAGAAGCGCGGAGAAATATGAACTTTAGCAAGGACTTGAAGCTACCAAAGTCGGTAGCCTCGAGTCCCCTGATGAAGAATTCGTTGTTCCGGTCCTTCATGGAGTTGACACTGATGCCGAAGGCCGACGTGGCGATCACGTCTGTGGTATACCGCCTGAAGACTTCCTTCGTGTCGATGGAAGTGCACAACTCCGGATGATCAGCCAAATACTCGGCGAACTGACAGGAACACTTGGACACTAGCTCAAACATGGCCTTCATCTTGCTGGCGGTAAAGGAAGGGCTCAACGTGTTCCTCATCTCTTTCCAGCGATTGCCACGCAAGGAGAAGACGTTCTTACCGAACAACGGATCTACCTCTTCGCTTGCGAAGCTCTTATGGTCTGGGAAGTGCTCGAAATCTTTCACCATCACGTCCCTGATCAAATCAGGGTCGCGCAAGAGGACGAGAGGAGTGGCCATGTCCATGAGGCCGATGTACTTTGCGTCTGGTTCATGTTTGTAGGTTAAATCGCTGTACTCAACGAAGCTCATGCGTCGCAGAAACACTTTCCAGGACGATCCAAGGCCTGGAACCGTGCCTATGTACGGGATACCCCGTTTCTTCCAGTACATGCACTGATGGTATACAACAGCGATGGCCTTCAACACGCCGATGCTGACCAAAGTGGTGAGCAAAAACGCGAAAGGTGATGAAAATAACCATGACGATGATGACGACGACGGTTCCATCGTGATCAGCACGTCCACGAACGAATGGCTACGCTGCTCGCAGCATAGCACGTTATAAATACAGACATGTATGTATGTTCACCAGCGCGAATCTTATCACGCACGAGCAGAGGGGGCACGAGAGAAACGCCTCTCGGAATTATTGCAGGCCATTGCGTCAGCAACATGTGCGAGCTACGTGGTAATGAACAGTCATATGCAACAATCCATTTAAACGTGTCATTCAGAAGTACAAGAAGTACAACTTTTCGGCAAAATCAAATTATAGCAAATCCCACAGAGAGAAATGTTTCGCTCCGAGACGACATGTGATTATATTATTAATGGGTTATTAAAAAGGTCATTTAAAAGCCATAACGCTGAATCATATGCAAAAATGTATAAGTTGGATCAAGTTAGATTAGGTCAGTCCGGGTTTTATTCGGAGAGGGAATGCAGGTGGAGGGGCAGAATCCTTCTTCCGCTCATATGTACTGTCAAGCATCTTTTAATGTACACTGTGTCGGTTAAATAGGCTCTAATTATGAAACTTCTATTGTTAATAGCTTATAATAAAAAAATAAGCGAAAGTTCAAACTTTTTGCACGTTGGTCAGAGCTATGTCCTTGACAACATATGTCAAACTGCCAAGTGATTGAAATAAATGAAATCACCACTAATATTAATATTTATCCAGATGGGTGGACGAAACATACCTCTCTTCGTGTTGTGTCCTCATAAGAATATATATTTCAAACGAATAATCTGCGAAAATAACTTGCTTCGTTGCTCCCGTTTAAAACTTCTACTTTCATTTCCATTTTCTAAGCCAATTTCTAATGAAAGCATAAGGCAATATTACAAACGCGCATTGTCTTGTCGATCTTACAAAAAGGAAGAGAGAGAGAGAGAGAAAGAGAGAGAAAAGGAGAGAAAAAAGAGAGAAAGAGAGAAGCAGGCGAATAAGACGCTCCCGAAAGTTCGTCTAATTAAATTAAGTCCCGCAAAGATAAATAAACGCATAAAGAGTATTATTTATCGATTATCTCCGAAGTTCATAATTTTTCCAAAACGTTTTATTGTTGTCACAAGATCATTTATTGATGACAATATATTTCACACGTATATATGTGTATATCACAAAAGCTTAACGTAATAAAAATATAAAGCAACAATGACATTCGATTGCTATTAAATACATATAGTACAAATCAGTAACAAGGAAAATGACGAGTAATTTATCGCTATCACTAATGAAAAACACTTGACCTTCGTATCGCGTTAAAAGTCTCATGAATTTCCACCGCTCTCAAGAGCGATCTTATCTACATTCATATGTTGAATATCCTAATTATAAAAGGACTAGTCATATCTGTTGAAGATGCATAATAAACTATCCCTCCCTCCTACTGTATCCCAATTCACTTTTGCCTCTTCTCTAAGGCGATCCAGAAACCGCCATCAGGCACCAACGTGAAATGCTTCTTATCAAATACGATAGGCTCGACAGTTTTCCCCGTAGTCTTGAACATGAATCTGTGAAGAAGGTGAGCCACCAAGAGCTTCGTCTCCATGAGAGCAAAGCGATTGCCGATACATTTCCTAGGCCCTAAGCCGAAGGGCAAGTAAGTGTACGGCACGATGTTGTCCTTGTTTTCGTCGCTGAACCTCTCGGGGTCGAACTTGGAGGGATTCGGGAAATATTTGGGGTCATGATGCAGCGCATAAACAGGCGTCCACGTTGTGGAGCCAGGCTCAATGACGACGCTTCTGTAGCCAGGCTTTGTCGGCGGAAGTTCGTATTTCTTGGCGCAGAGCCTGTCGATAATTATATTCAGCGGGTATTTCCGCAGCGCCTCCGACACCACCATGTCCATGTAAACCATCTTCGACATCGCCTCATAGGTGATCTCGCCATTTCCTTCGGTAAAATGCTTCTCCACCTCTTCCCAAAGGCGGTCTTGAATGTCTCGATGCACCGCGAGCTCATGGGCGATGAAACACATGAGCGTCGCCGATGTGTCGAAACCGGCGAGGAAGAAAAGTAGGGCCTGCGCGACAATGTCATCTAGTGTCATCTCATGCGCACCTTCCTTGTCCCGAGCTTGCATCAGTAAATGAATCATGTCTGGCCGGATGATACCTTGTTCTTCCCGGACTTTGATTGTCTCCGCCACGGTTCTCCTGAAGAACTGCGACGCGGCCGGCGAGAAAAAGCTGAATCCCAGCATTTTCGCTAATCGTGGACACGCGCGAAGAAATATGGATTTTAGTATGAACTTGAAACCACTGAACTTGGAAGTCTCAAGACCCCTGATGAAAAATTCGTTGTCCCGATCTCTCATGGAGTTGACACTGATGCCGAAAGCCGACGTGGCGATCACGTCGGTAGTGTATCGTCTGAAAGCCTCCTTCGTATCCATGGAGGAGCACAGTTCTGGATGATCGGCCAGGTATTCGACGAACTCGCGGGAACACTTGGACACTAGTTCGAACATGACCTTCATCTTGCTAGCGGTGAAGGAAGGGCTGAGTGTGTTCCTCATTTCTTTCCAGCGATTGCCACGCAAGGAGAAGACGTTCTTACCAAACAACGGGTCTACCTCTTCGTTCGAGAAGGTCTTATGATCCGGGAAGTGCTCGAAGTCTTTCACCATTACGTCTTTGATCAACTCAGGGTCGCGCAGGAAGACAAGAGGAGTGGCCATATCCATAAGGCCGATGTACTTTGCATCTGGCACATGATTGTAAAGAAATAGGATGTACTCCATAAAGCTTATACGTTGCAGAAACATTTTCCAGCCCATTTTCATGCCCGGAATCGCGCGTATTTGAGGAACATCTCGTTTCTTCCAGTATATATGCTGATGATGCAGATAGGCGATAACCTTCAGCATACCGATGGTAACTAAAGTGGTCAATAAAATCGCAAAAGGCGACGAGAATAACAACGACGGAAACAACGACGACTCCATCGTGATCAGACGATCGGAGAACGAATGGCTACGTCTGCGGCATAGCACGTTATAAGTACAGACATATACAGTCATCAGAGCGAATCTTATCACGCATAAGCAGAGGGGGGAACGAAAGGTACGCCTCTCAGAACTGACACCATTGCATCAGCAACATATAAGCTACATAGTAGAATAGCCGTATGCAACAATCTTTTTAAATTTGTCATTTCAAGCGCACGCAACTTTTTGGCTTAAGCAAATTACAGCAAATCAAGTAGAGAGGAATATTCCGCTCCGAGACAATATTTCGACACTCTCTGAAAGATAATACCACGCTTACTCCATTGAAATTCCGCAAGAGTATCCGACCTTCCGATGGCTTCAAACAGTTAAACTGCAAAAATAATGTCCCTTGTTACTCTTGTTTAAATTTTCTATTTCCACTTTCTCTTTGTAATCTAATTTTTAACGGAAGCTTGAAGAAATGAGAAAACGCTTCATGCTATTTTATCGATCTTGCAAATCGCAAGAGAAAGTTATTCGCAATTAAGATCGAAGTGCAAACTCGAACCAGAGGAATGATCTGATTACATTAAGTTTCACCAAAGATAAATATAGTCTGTTCCACAAAAGCGTAGGAGCTGTTTCTATCGCACAAGAGCGTACGGCTTCGCATTTTATTAATAGATGGCACACAGATGTTAAGTTCGGTTTTTCTGATTCTCTGGACAGTTCGGAAGAATGCTTTGAGGTAATATGAGTAGTGTGTACTTGTTTTGTCTGTAACACAACAGAATAAACACAATGAGTGCTGCGTATGCAAGTCATTTTGAAGCAGTGCTTCTTTGCATACACCCGAAAGGATCGAAAATATCGTATGCTGCTGGCCGCTACATGAAAAAGTCAGAGGAGTTCGTTAGGAAGTGGGTGAAGCGTTATAACGAAACAAAAACTGTTGATGACCTGCCGGAACGTGGCATCCAGTGCTCAACCACGAAAAAGGACGGCAAAGCTATGATCAAGATATTTGAGAAGAATCCTGGAACTCGATAACAAAGGAGATTGGACAACTTACTAAATAAATGCATTTTAGTTTATTGAATTTATTAATAGATCCAAATCAAATTTTTAACAATTTTGTGTTTTTTAGAAGAAACAGACCGTACGCTGTTGTGGAATAAACCCCAGGAAGAAATAAGAGCCGAATAGACATCGAATCGAAAGAAACGAAAAAAATATGAAGTTTATCGCTATCATAGATAAAGAAACCACTTGAACTTCGTTTCATAATACAACTCTCGTGAATTTCAACTGCTCTCGAAGCGAGCTTATTTACATATACATGTTCAATATATTGATTTCAAAACAACTAAACATCTGTAGCAGATGTAGAATAAACTATCCCCCCCCCTCTCATACAATATTCCGTTTCACTTCTGCCTTTTTTCCAAGCCGATCCAGAATCCGCCCTCGGGCTGCAACGAGAACTGTTTTTTGTCGAATACGATGGGCTCGACGGTCTTCTCCGTGGTCTTGAATATGAACCTACGAAGAAGGTAAGCCACCAAGAGCTTCGTTTCCATGAGGGCGAAGCGATTGCCAATGCACTTCCTGGGTCCGTGGCCGAAGGGCATATAAGTGTATGGTACAATGTTATCCTTGTTCTCGTCGCTGAACCTCTCAGGGTCGAACTTGGAGGGGTTCGAGAAGTACTTGGAGTCATGGTGCAAGGCGTAAACAGGCATCAACATCATAAAGTCGGGCTCGATGACGACATTCTTGTAACCGGCCTTCGCCGGCGGAAGCTCATATTTCTTAACGCAAAGCCTGTCAATGAACGCCGCCGGCGGATACTTCCGCAGAGCCTCCGACACTACCATGTCCATATAAACCATCTTCGACATCGCCTCGTAGGTGATCTCGCCGTTACCCTCAGCGAAGTGCTTCTCTACTTCCTCCCACAGACGGTCCTGAATGTCCCGATGGACCGCGAGCTCATGAGCGAGGAAGCACATGAGCGTCGCAGATGTGTCGAAACCGGCGAGGAAGAAGATGAAAGCCTGAGCGACAATGTCGTCCAGCGTGACTTCGTGCACATTGGGGCCCTTTTTGTCCCGAGCTTGCATCAACAAGTGAATCATGTCCGGCCGAACGATACCCTGCTCATCCCGAACTCTGATAGCCTCCGCCACGATTCTTTTGAAGAATTGCGACGTTACTGAAGAGAAGACGCTTATACCCAACATCTTCGTCAAACGCGGACACACGCGGATAAATATGAACTTTAGCATCATCTTGAATCCGCTGAACGTGGTGGCCTCGATTCCTCTAATAAAAAACTCGTTGTCCCGATCCTTCATGGAATTGACACTGATACCGAAGGCCGACGTGGCGATCACATCGGTGGTATACCGCCTGAAGGCTTCTTTCGTGTCGATGGAAGAACACAACTCCGGATGATCGGCTAGATATTCGGCGAACTCGCAGGAACACTTGGACACTAGCTCAAACATGATCTTCATCTTGCTGGCGGTAAAGGAAGGGCTCAGCGTGTTTCTCATCTCTTTCCAACGGTTGCCACGCAAAGCTACAACATTTCTGCTAAACAACGGCTCTACTTCTTCGCTCAGTATACTCTTATGGTCCGGAAAATGCTCGAAGTCCTTCACCATCACGTCCTTGATCAGTTCAGGGTCGCGCAAAAGGACAAGAGGGGTGTTCAAGCTCATCAGACCGATATACTTGGCGTCCGACACATAGTTGTAGATAAATTGGTTGTATTCAGTAAAATCGATGTGTCGCAGTAACGCTCTCAAGGATATTTTCATACTCGGGATCGTATGTATGTAGGGGACATTCCGTTTCTTCCAGTATGTCTGCTGATGATACACAAACGCGATAACCTTCAGCACAATGATAATGACTAAAGTGGTCAACAGGATCGCGAGGGGCGATAAGAATGACGACGACAAAAATAACGACTCCATCGTGATCAGACTGTCTGAAAGCGAATGGCTACGTCATTCGTGGCATAGCACGTTATAAGTACAGACAGATGTACGTTCATCAGCGCGAATCTTATCATGCACAAGAAGAGGGGGCACGAGAAACACGACACTGGAATCTACTAGAGGCAGTTTCATCTATAACTTGTACGGGCTACATAGTAGCGAACTGTAATATACAACGATCCTTTTAAATTTGTCATTTCAAGCGCACGCTACTTTTCGGAAAAATCCGAGACATTTCGGTACTTTGTAAAAGATAATATCATGCTTAGTCCATCGAATTTCTACAGGATAAATCTTCCGTCGAATTCAAAAGATTAACTTTCGAAAAAAACTCCCCTTTTCGTTCGTATTTGAACTTTTTATTTCCACTTTCTTTTTGAAAGCTAATTTTCAATAGAAGATTGAAGAAATGACGCTGTGCGCAGTTTTGTCGATCGTGCGAAACAAAAGAAAGACCGAGAAAGAGAGAGAGAGAGAGAGAGAGAGAGAGAGAAAGAGAGAGAGAGAGAGAGAGAGAGAGAGAGAGAGAGAGAGAGAGAGAGAGAGAGAGAGAGAGAGAGAGAGAGAGAGAGAGAGAGAGAGAGAGATCTACAATTAAAATCAAGGTTAAAGCTTGCCCCAGAAGGATGGTCTAATTACATTAAGTTCCATTAAAGATAAATAAACGCACAATGGATATTTTTTGCTGACTAATTCCAAAATTCATAATTTTTCCAAAAACACGAGCGTTGGTAACATGATGAATATATCATTGCTGTCACAAGATTATTTATTAGTGATAATATATTTCATACACTGCAATAATTAAATATTGCACAGAATATAAAACATATATATTAATAATATAAAAATATATACATATGTATATATACCACAAAAATATACACATATGTATATATACCACCAAAGTTTAACGAAATAAAAATGTAAAACAACAACAATGACATGCGACTGCTATTAAAACCATATGATACAACTCAGCAATAAGGAAATATAATAATTGTTATCGCTATCATAGACGCTATCAAAGAAACGCTTGATCTTCGGCTCGCAAGAAAACAAACTTTATAAATTTTAACTGCCGGTGAGAGCTAACTTCCGAGAACGGTCTTATTCACATGCACACACATATGTTGAATATCCCACTTATAAAACGATAAAACATCTGTAGAAGATGTAAAACAAACTATCCTTCCCTACGATATTCCCTACAATCCGTGTTACTTCTGCCTCTTTTCCAAGGTGATCCAGAATCCGCCATCAGGTTGCAACGTGAACTGCTTTTTATCGAAAACGATAGGTTCAACAGTCTTTTCCGTAGTCTTGAATATAAACCTGTGAAGAAGGTGAGCCACCAACACCTTCGTCTCCATGAGAGCAAAGCGATTGCCGATACACTTCCTAGGCCCTAAGCCGAAGGGCAAGTAAGTGTACGGCACGATGTTCTCCTTGCACTCGTCGCTGAACCTCTCGGGGTCGAACTTGGATGGGTTCGGGAAATATTTCGGGTCATGATGCAGCGCGTAAACAGGCGTCATCGTCATTGAATCAGGCTCGACAATGACGTTCATGCAGCCAAGCTTCGCCGGCGGAAGCTCATATCTCCTGACGCAGAGCCTATCAATGAAAATCACCGGTGGGTATTTCCGTAAGACTTCCGACAATACCATGTCCATGTAAACCATCTTCGATATCGTCTCATATGTGATCTCGCCATTTCTCTCGGCAAAGTGCTTCTCCACCTCTTCCCACAGGCGGTCTTGGATGTCTCGATGCACCGCGAGCTCATGGACGACGAAACACATGAGCGTCGCCGATGTGTCGAAACCGGCGAGGAAAAAGATTAGGGCCTGCGCGACAATGTCGTCTAACGTCATCTCATGCATATTGGGGTCTTCCTTGTCCCTAGCTTGCATCAACAAGTGAATCATGTCTGGCCGTACGATACCCTGCTTTTTCCGGACATTTATACTTTCCGCCACGATCCTCTTGAAGAACTGCGACGTGGCCGGCGAGATGAAACTCATGCCTAGTATCCTCGCCAATCGCGGACATATGCGATGAAATATCATCTTTAGTATGAACGTGAACTTAAAAGTACCGAACATGCTGGCTTCAGTTCCTCGGAGAAAAAACTCGTTGTTCCGATCCTTCATGGAGTTGACGCTGATGCCGAAGGCCGATGTAGCGATCACGTCGGTAGTATATCGTCTGAAAGCCTCCTTCGTGTCGATGGAGGAGCACAGCTCTGGATGATCGGCCAGGTATTCGGCGAACTCGCGGGCACATTTGGACACTAGCTCGAACATAACCTTCATCTTGCTGGCGGTAAAGGAAGGGCTCAGCGTGTTCCTCATTTTTTTCCAGCGGTTGCCGCGCAAGGAGAAGACGTTCTTACCAAACAACGGGTCTGCTTCTTCGCTTGCGATGCTCTTGTGATCCGGGAAATGTTCGAAGTCTTTCACCATTACGTCCTTGATCAGTTCAGGGTCACGCAGGAGGACAAGAGGTGTGGCCATGCTCATAAGACCGATGTACTTGGCGTCCGGCACATAGTTGTATATAAATTGATTGTGTTCCGTAAAGCTTATACGTCGCAGTAATAGTTTCCAAAATATTTCCAGACCCACTATTGTGCGTATTTGTGGAACGCCTCGTTTCTTCCAGTACATATGCTGATGATATAGATAGGCGATAACCTTCAGCACACCGATAGTGACCAAAGTGGTCAACAAAAGCGCGAAGGGCGACGAGAATAACGACAACGAAAACGACGACGATTCCATCGTGATCAGACTGCCAGAGAATGAATAGCTATGACGCTTGCGGCATAGAGTGTTATAAATACAGACGTGTGCGTTCATCAGCGTGAATCTTATCGCGCATAAATAGAAGGGGGGACGAGAGAAACGCCTCTCGGAACTGTTAAAGACCATTGCATCAGCAACATATGCGAGCTACATAGTAGCGAATAGCCGTATGCAACGATCTTTTTAAATATCACCACTTCAAACGCACGCAACTTTTCGACTTAAGCGAATCACAACAAATAACGTAGAAAGGAATATTTTGCTCCGTGACAATATTTCGGCACTGTCTGAAAGATAATATAACGTCTATCGAAACTTCGCTAGAGTAATTTTCCGATTACTTCAAACGATAAACTTGTGAAAATAACTTCCAATATTATTTCCGTTTAAACTTTCTATTTTCACTTTCTCTTTGTAAGTTAATTTTTAGTAGAAGATTGAAAAAATGGGGAAACGCTCCATACCAATTTATCGATCTTGTGAATCGAAAGAGAGAGAAAGTGTCCGCGATTAAGACCGATGTCCAAACTCGAAGCAGAAGAACGATCTGATTACATTAAATTCCATTAAATATAAGTAAACGTATAACCGGCATTATTTGTCGATTACCTCCAAAACACATTGTTTCAAACAAGCAGTGGTGACACCGTAAATGTTTTATTGCTGTCACAAGATTATTTATTGATGACAATATATTTCATACACTGTAATAATTAATTACTACACGGAATATATTGTAATATATACATCAGACATATAAAAATATACACATATATATCACAAAAGTTCAACGAAATAAAAATGTAAAACAACAACCAGGACACTCGACCGCTATCAAATATGTATGGTGCAAACCGGCAACAAGAAAATATGAAAAGTGTTTATCCGCTATCACAGATAAAGAAACGCTTGATCTTCGGCCGGCAATAAAACATGCCTAATACGTTTTAATTGCTAGCGAGAGTTAACTCTCGAGAACGATCTTATCCATACACGTGTTAAATATCTTAATTATAAAACAATAAAACATTTGTAGAAGATGTCAAATAAACTATTCTTTTCTACGCTATCTCGTTTCACTTCTGCCTCTTTTCCAAAGCGATCCAGAATCCGCCATCAGGTTGCAGATTGAACTGCTTCTTGTCGAATACGATGGGCTCGACAGTCTTTTCCGTAGTCTTGAAAATAAATCTGTGAAGAAGGTGAGCCACCAACAACTTCGTCTCCATGAGAGCAAAGCGATTACCAATACACTTCCTGGGCCCTAAACCGAAGGGCAAGTAAGTATACGGTATGATGTTGTCCTTATTCTCGTCGCTGAACCTCTCGGGGTCGAACTTGGAGGGGTTCGAGAAGTACTTGGGGTCATGATGCAGCGCATAAACAGGCGTCCACGTCATAGAGTCAGGCTCCACGATGACGTTCTTATAGCCAGGCTTTGCCGGAGGAAGCTCATACTTCTTGGCGCAAAGCCTGTCAAGGAACACCACTGGCGGATACTTCCGCAGAGCCTCCGACACTACCATGTCCATGTAAACCATCTTCGACATCGCCTCATACGTGATTTTGCCCTCTCCCTCGACAAAGTGCTTCTCCACCTCCTCCCACAGACGATCTTGGATATCTCGATGCACCGCGAGTTCATGGGCGACGAAACACATGAGCGTCGCCGACGTGTCGAAACCGGCGAGGAAAAAAATTAGGGCCTGCGCGACAATATCGTCCAACGTCATCTCATGCACACTGGGGCCTTCCTTGTCCCGAGCTCGCATCAGCAAGTGAATCATGTCTGGCCGGACGATACCTTGTTCTTCCCGGACTTTGATTGTCTCTGCCACGATTTTTCTGAAGAACTGCGAAGTGGCCGGCGAGAAGAAGCTCAGACCTAACATCTTCGTTAATCGCGGACACACGCGGAAAAATATGAACTTTATCATGGCCTTGAAACCACTCAAGTTGGAAGTCTCAAGTCCTCTGATGAAAAATTCGTTGTCCCTATCTTTCATGGAGTTAACGTTGATGCCGAAGGCCGATGTCGCAATCACATCGGTAGTGTATCGTCTGAAAGCCTCTTTTGTGTCGATAGAGGCGCACTGCTCTGGATGATCGGCCAAATATTCGGCGAATTCGCAGGAACACTTGGACACTAACTCGAACATGATCTTCATCTTGCTAGCGGTAAAAGAAGGGCTCAGCGTGTTTCTCATCTCTTTCCAGCGATTGCCGCGCAAAGCGAAAACGTTTTTATCAAATAATGGGTCTACTTCTTCGCTCGCGAAACTCCTGTGGTCCGGGAAATGTTCGAAATCTTTCACCATCACGTCCTTAATCAGCTCAGGGTCACGTAGGAAGACAACAGGTGTGGCCATGTCCATATGACCGATGTACTTGGCGTCCGGCACATCGTTGTAGATAAATTGACTGTATTCCGTGAAGTTTATACGTTGCAGTAACAATTTCCAGCCTACTTTCATTCCCGGAATCCCGCGTATTTGAGGAACACCTCGTTTCTTCCAGTATATATGCTGATGATACAGATAGGCGATAATCTTTAGCACACCGATAATGATCAAAGTGGTCAACAAAATCGCGAAGGGCGACGAAAATAACGACGACGAAGACAACGACGACTCCATCGTGATCAGAGAACGCGTCCGAGAATGAATGGCTACGTCGTTCGCGGTATAACACGTTATAAGTACAGACATGTACGTTCATCAGCAAATCTTATCACGCATCAGCATCAGAGGGGAGACGGGGGGACACCCACTTGGGACTTGATATAGACCATTACATCAGCAACATGTGCGAACTACACAGTAGCGAATCGTCAACCGTATGCAACGATCTTTTAAAATTTGTGATCTCATGCGCACGCAAATTTTCGCAATTATAGCAAAAGCGAATTATAGCATATCAAGTAGAGAGGAATATTCCGCTCCGAGACAACATTTCGGCATTTTCTAAAAGATAATATCACACTTAGTCCACCGAAATTCCGCAAGAATAATCTTCCGACGACTTCAAACAATTAACCTGTAAAAATAACATGTTAACCTCACTTAAACTTTCTATTTCCACTTTCTCTTCGTAAGCTAATTTTTAACATAAGCTTAAAAAAATTGGGAAACTCTCCATGCCAATTTATCGTTCTTGCGAATCAAAAGAGAGAGGGAGTGAATCATGATTAAGATGGATTAACACCGAAGTCTAAACTTGAATCAAAAGAATGATCTGATTACATTAAGTTCGACTAAAAATAAATAAATGCATAAACGGTATTATTTGTCGATTATTTCCAAAATTCATAACTTTTCCAAAAATGAAGAAGCGTTGGTGACACGGTGAATGTTTTATTGTTGTCACAAAATTACTTATTGACAATATATTCCATATACTGTAATAAATAATTATTTCAAGGAATATAAAATATATATTCACAATATAAAAATACATATGCATATATACCACCAATGTTTAACGAAATAAAAATGTAAAACAACAACGACATTCGATCGCTATTAAATCCGTATGGTACAAATCGGCAACAAGCAAATATGAAAAATGTTTATCGCTATCACAGAAACACTTGATCTTCGGCTCGCAATAACACGCAATAAAGCTTCACAAGTATTGACTGCTGAGCGAGAGCTGACTCCCGAAAATAATCTTATCCGTATATACATGCGGAATATCCTAATTATAAAAAATTAATTATAGAATTCTACAAATGAAACATCAGTGGAAGATGTAGAATAAACTATCCCCCGACCCCAACCCGCCTCTACGATATGCCGTTTCACTTCTGTCTCTTTTCCAAAGCGATCCAGAATCCGCCATCAGGCTGCAACGTGAACTGCTTCTTATCAAATACGATAGGGTCGACAGTCTTCTCCGTAGTCTTAAAAATAAATCTGTGAAGAAGATAAGCCAGCAACAGCTTCGTCTCCATGAGAGCAAAGCGATTGCCGATACACTTCCTAGGCCCTAGGCCGAAGGGCAAGTAAGTATACGGTACGATCTTGTCCTTGTTTTCATTGCTGAACCTCTCGGGGTTGAACTTGGAAGGATTCGGAAAATATTTGGGATCATGATGCAGCGCATAAACAGGCGTCCATGTCATGCAGTCACGTTCAACGACGACGCTCTTGTAGCCAGGCTTTGCCGGCGGCAGCTCATATTTCTTAGCACAGAGCCTATCGATAAACACCACCGGCGGATACTTCCGCAAAGCCTCCGACACTACCATGTCCATGTAAACCATTTTCGACATCGCCTCATACGTGATCTCGCCATTTCCGTCAGCAAAATGCGCCTCTATCTCCTCCCACAAGCGGTCTTGGATGTCCCGATGCACCGCGAGCTCATGGACGACGAAACACATGAGCGTCGCCGACGTGTCAAAGCCGGCGAGGAAGAAAATTAGGGCCTGTGCAACAATGTCGTCTAGCGTCATCTCATGCATACTGGGACCTTCCTTGTCGCGAGCTCGCATCAGCAAGTGAATCATGTCCGGCCGGACGATACTTTGTTCTTCCCGGACTCTGATTGTCTCCGCAACGATTTTCTTGAAGAACTGCGACGTTGCTGGTGAGAAAAAACTCAGGCCTAACACCTTCGCTAATCGCGGACACGCGCGGAGAAATATGAATTTTAGAGTGGCCTTGAAGCCACTGAACTTGGAAATTTCAAGTCCTCTGATGAAAAATTCGTTGTCCCTATCTTTCATGGAGTTAACGCTGATGCCGAAGGCCGACGTGGCGATCACGTCGGTAGTATATCGTCTGAAAGACTCCTTCGTGTCGATGGAGGAGCACAGCTCTGGATGATCAGCCAGGTATTCGGCGAATTCGTAGGAACACTTGGACACTAACTCGAACATAACCTTCATCTTGCTGGCTGTGAAGGAAGGACTCAACGTAGTCCTCATTTCTTTCCAGCGGTTGCCACGCAAAGAAAATACGTTCTTACCAAACAATGGGTCTACCTCTTCACTTGCGAAGCCTTTGTGGTCCGGAAAGTGCTCGAAGTCCTTCACCATCACGTCCTTGATCAACTCAGGGTCGCGCAAGAGGACAAGAGGTGTAGCCATATCCCAAAGGCCGATGTACTTAGCGTCCGAGACATGGTTGTAGATAAATAGGTTGAACTCCGTAAAGCTTATATGTCGTAGTAACATTTTCCAGCCCATTTTCATGCTCGGAATCGCGCGTATTTGAGGAACATCTCGTTTCTTCCAATATCTATGCTGATGATACAGATAAGCGATAACCTTCAGCACACCGATAGTGACCAAAGTGGTCAACAAAATCGCGAAGGGCGACGAAAATAACGACGACGAAAACGATGACGACTCCATCGTGATCAGACTATCTGAGAACGTATGGTTACGTTGTTCGCGACATAGCATGTTATATAAGTACAGACATGTACGTTCATCAGCACAAATCTTATCACGCATAAACAGAGGGGGAGACTAAGAAAACGCCTCTCAGAATTGTTAAAGGCCATTGCATCAGCAAACATGTGCGAGCTACATAGTAATGAAAAGTCGTATGCAACGATCTTTATAAATTTGTTATTCCATGCGCACGTAACAATTCGCTTAAGCAAATTACAGCAAATCACACAGAGAGGAATATTCCACTTCCAGATAACATTTCGCCATTTTCTGAAAGATAATATCACGATTACTCCATCGAAATTCCGTGGGAATAATATTCCGACGACTTCAAACAATTAACATGCGAAAATAATTTCGCTTGTTACTCTCGTTTATACTTTTTATTTCCACTTTTTCTTTGTAAAATAATTTTTTATATAAGCTTGGAGAAATTGGAAAGCGCACCATGCGATTTTATCAATTTTGCGGATCAAAAAAGAAAAAGAGAATGATCTGCGATTAAGAACAAGATCAAAACTTGACCCAAAGTAATTGTCTGATTACATTAAGTTCCATTAAAGAGATCCATAAATAAATGCAACCGGCATTATTTCTGAATTACCTCAAAAATTCATAATTTTCCCAAAAAACGAGCGTTAGTGACATGGGGAATATTTTATTGTTGTAACAAGATTATTTATTGCTGACAATATATTTCATATACTGTAATAAATAATTATTACACTGAATGTAAAATATATATTAACAATATAAAAATATACACACCACCAAAGTTTAACAAAATAAAAATATAAAACAATAACAATGACATTCGACCGCTAATAACTCCGTATGATACAAGTCTGCCACAAGCAAATACGAGGAGTATTTATCGCTATCATAGATAAAGAAACACTTGATCTTCGGCCTGCAAGAAAATAAGTCTCATAGGCTTTAACTGCGAGAGCTGACTCCTAAAAGCGATCTCGGGGACGATCCAAACACGCATGCTAAATATCCTAATTATAGAACGATAAAACATTTGTGGGAGATATAGAATAAACTATCCTACAATATTCCGTTTCACTTCTGCCTCTTTTCCAAGGCGATCCAGAATCCGCCATCAGGCTGCAACGTGAACTGCTTTTTATCGAATACGATAGGCTCGACAGTTTTCTCCGTAGCCTTGAAGACGAATCTGTGAAGAAGGTGAGCCACTATGAGCTTCGTCTCCATAAGGGCGAAGCGGTCGCCGATGCATTTCCTAGGCCCTAGGCCGAAGGGCATGTAAGTGTACGGCACGATGTTGTCCTTGTTTTCGTCGCTGAACCTTTCAGGGTCGAACTTAGAGGGATTCGGGAAGTATCTAGGGTCATGATGCAGTGCATAAACAGGCGCCCACGCCATGGAGTCCTGCTCGACGACGAAATTCTTGCAGCCAGGCTTCGCCGGAGGAAGCTCGTATCTCCTGACGCACAGTCTCTCGATGAAATTCACCGGTGGATATTTCCGCAAGGCTTCCGATAGTACCATGTCCAAGTAAACCATCTTCGATATCGCCTCATATGTGATCTCGCCATTTCCCTCGGCAAAATGCTTCTCCACCTCCTCCCACAGGCGGTCTTGGATGTCTCGATGCACCGCGAGCTCATGAGCGACAAAGCACATGAGCGTCGCCGTCGTGTCAAAACCAGCGAGAAAGAAGATTAGAGCCTGGGCGACAATGTCGTTCAACGTAAACTCATGCACACTGGGGCCCTCCTTGTCCTGAGCTTGCATCAGCAAGTGAATCATGTCTGGCCGAACGATACCTTGTTCTTTTCGGACTCTGATCGTCTCCGCTACGATTCTCTTGAAGAACTGCGACGTGGCCAGCGAGAAAATGCTAATGCCCAACAATTTCCCTAATCGCGGACTAGATTGAAGAACCGTGAATTTTAACATAGTCTTGAAGTTATTGGTCTTGGAAATATCGAGTCCCTTGATGAAAAACTCGTTGTTCCGGTCCTTCATGGAGTTGACGCTGATGCCAAAGGCCGACGTAGCAATCACGTCGGTAGTGTATCGTCTGAAAGCCTCTTTTGCGTCAATGGAGGAGCACCGCTCAGGATGATCGGATAGGTATTTGGTAAACTCGCATGAACACTTGGACACTAGCTCGAACATAACCTTCATCTTGCTGGCGGTGAAGGAAGGGCTCAGCGTACTCCTCATTTCTTTCCAGCGGTTGCCGCGCAAGGAAAAGATGTTCTTACAGAACAACGGATCTACCTCTTCGTTCAAGAAGGTTTTGTGATCCGGGAAGTGCTCGAAGTCTTTTACCATTACATTCTTAATCAGCTCAGGGTCGCGCAGGAGGACGAGAGGTGTACCCATGCTCATCAGGCCAATGTACTTGGCGTCTGGCATATAATTATAGAGGTACTGGCAGTATTCGGCGAAATTCAGGCGTCGCAAAAACATAGTCCAGAACATTCCGAAGCTGAGTATGTGAGGAACACCTCGTTTCATCCAATACGTAAACTGACGGTACACAAAAGCGATAACTTTCATTACACTGATTATGACCAATGTGATCAACAAAAACACGAAGGGCAACGAGAATAATGATGACGAAGACGACGACTCCATTGTGATCAATATGGCCGAGAACGAATGGCTACGTCTTTCGCGGCACAATATGTTATAAGTACAGATACGTATCATCAGCGCAAATCTTATCATGCACTAGTAGAGGGGACACAAAAGAAACGCTTGTCGGAACTATTATAGGCCGTTGTATCAGCAATTTATGCGAGCTAGTAGCGAATAGTCGCATATAACAATCAGTTTAAACATGTCATTCAGAAGTACACAACTTTTTTGCAAAATCGAATTATAGCGAATTTCTCAGAGAGAGAATCCCGTTTCGGTCCGAGAAGACATTTTAGCACTTTTTTAGAGATAATATTTCCCTTAATACATCGAATTTCCGCATGATTGTTGAAAAACTCACAACGTGGAGCTAAATGCAAAAATGCAAAGTTGATTTAGGTTAAGTTAAGTTAGTTAAGTTCTATTTGGAGAGATGGAGGCGTCTTTCCTGCTTTTATATATACTACCCAATATTTTTAAAAAATATACATTATGTCAGAAAAATAGATTTTACTTATAAAGCTTTTTTAATAAACAATAACTTTTAATAACCAATGAACGATGACAAAATCTTTTTGCAAGTTAGTCAGAGCTATGTCCTTGACCACATATATCAAAGTCATTGAAATCAGATAGGTCGCCATTAAAATTAATATTTATCCTTGTAGGAGGATGAAAGAAATATGCCACTCCTCGCGCTAGTATTCTATATAAATATACAGGGCGTATCAAAAATACTTGAACAAACTTTGGGGGCGAGTTCCTCACACCAAAACAAGGAAAAAATGTCATGTAAACATATGTCCGGAAATGCTTCGTTTTTGAATTATTATTGAAAGAACATTTTACAATAACACATCTGTTTGAAATTGTCAGCTCATAGGAAGTGTTCAAAATGTCCTCCTTTTGCTTCTACACACGCATGAACTTGTCGGATCATGTATGACTTGTATCAATAACATCACTCGATTATCTGACAAAATGAATTATTTGTAACAAACTTAAATTGTTGGATTTGAAACGCGTTGAACATAAACTTTATCAATAATAACTCAAAAGCGAAGCATTTCCGAACATATATTTACATGACATTTTTTCTTGTTTTGGTGTGAGGAATCCGCCTCAAAAGTTTGTCCAAGTACTTTGCTACACCCTGTATATTAAAAACAATTAACCTATGAAAATAAACTCCTTCGTGGTACTCTTTTATATATTCTTTTCACATTTTCATTTTCTTTTTAAGCTAACTTTTGATGAAAACGTGGAAAAATCGCCAAACACATCGCGCCGATTTTTCAATCTTGCGAAACGAGAGAGAAAGAGAAAGAAAGAAACAGAGAGAGAAGGAAAGAGAGAGAGAGAGAGAGAGAGAGAGAGAGAGAGAGAGAGAAGAGAGAGAAGAGAGAGAGAGAGAGAAGAGAGAGAGAGAGAGAGAGAGAGAGAGAGAGAGAGAGAGAGAGAGAGAGAGAAGAGAAGGCCCGTGATTGAGATCAATGTCGCTCCCGAATGATTGTCTAATTAAATTAATTTTCACGAAAGATAAATAAACGTACAAAATATATTATTTATTGATTACCTCTAAAATTTATAACTTTTCCAGGAAAACAGGTATTAGTGATATAGTTAATGTTTTATTATTACCACATGATTATTCGTCAGTGACAATATATTTCATATACTATATTATGTACGATATAATATATATATTAAATATATTAAATATATATATACATGTATATGATAAAAGATTAACGTGATAAAAATATAAAACAGCAACAATGGCATTCGATTGTTATTTTGCATGGCAAAAGTCGGCACCAAATATGAGGAGCTTATTGCTATCACACATGAAAAAACGCTTGACCTTCGTGTCATAATAAAACAAGCCTCGCGGATTCCGACTACTCCCGACAGCTATCTTATCAACATACGCATACTGAATGTCTTAATTATAGAATGACTAAACATCATAGAAGATGTAGAATGCACTATTCCTCTCTCCTACGATATCCAGTTTCACTTCTGCCTCTTTTCCAAAGCAATCCAGAATCCGCCAATAGGCTGCATTGCGAACTGCTTCTTATCAAACACGATAGGTTCGACAGTCTTCTCCGTAGTCTTGAAGACGAATATGCGAAGAAGGTGAGCCACCAAGAGCTTCGTTTCCATGAGAGCAAAGCGATTGCCGATACATTTTCTAGGCCCTAGACCGAAGGGCATATAAGTGTATGGCACAATGTTGTTCCTGTTCTCGTCGCTGAACCTCTCGGGGTCAAACTTGGAAGGATTCGGGAAATACTTAGGATCATGATGCAGCGCGTAAACGGGCGCCCATGTTGTATAGTCGGCCTCGAAGACGACGTTCTTGAAGCCAGGCTTTGCCGGCGGAAACTCATATCTCTTAACGCAGAGCCTATCAGTGAGGACCACCGGTGGATATTTCCGTAAGGCTTCCGACAATACCATATCCATGTAAGCCATCTTCGACATTGCCTCATACGTGATCTCACCATTTCCCTCGGCAAAATGCTTCTCCACCTCCTCCCACAGGCGGTCTTGGATGTCTCGATGCACTGCGAGTTCATGGGCGACGAAGCACATGAGCGTCGCCGTCGTGTCAAAACCGGCGAGAAAGAAGATTAGAGCCTGGGCGACAATGTCGTCCAACGTAAACTCATGCACACTGGGGCCCTCCTTGTCCTGAGCTTGCATCAGCAAGTGAATCATGTCTGGCCGAACGATACCTTGTTCTTTTCGGACTCTGATCGTCTCCGCTACGATTCTCTTGAAGAACTGCGACGAGGCCGGAGAGAAAATGGTAATGCCTAGCAACTTCCCTAATCGCGGAGCAGCTTGAAGAAACATGAATTTTAGCATAGCCTTGAAGCTATTGATCTTGGAAATCTCGAGTCCCCTGATGAAAAACTCGTTGTTCTGATCCTTCATGGAGTTAACGCTGATGCCGAAGGCTGACGTGGCGATCACGTCGGTAGTATATCGTCTGAAAGCCTCCTTCGTGTCGATGGAGGAGCACAGCTCTGGATGATCGGCCAGGTATTCGGCGAACTCGCGGGCACACTTGGACACTAGCTCGAACATAACCTTCATCTTGCTGGCGGTAAAGGAAGGGCTCAGCGTGTTCCTCATTTCTTTCCAGCGATTGCCACGCAAGGAGAAGACATTCTTACCGAACAACGGGTCTACCTCTTCGTTCGAGAAGGTCTTATGATCCGGGAAGTGCTCGAAGTCTTTCACCATTACGTCCTTAATCAGTTCAGGATCGCGCAGAAGGACAACAGGTGTGGACATATCCATAAGGCCGATGTACTTGGCGTCTGGCACATAGTTGTAGATATACTGGCAGTAGTCGGCGAAATGCATACGTTGCAGAATCAAATTCCAGGATATTCCCAGGCTGGGTTTATAAGGGACACCGTGTTTCATCCAGTACGTAAACCGACGATACACAAAGCCGGTAACTTTGAGCACGCCGATTGCGACCAAAGTGGTCAGCAAAAACGCAAAAGGCGACGAGAATAACCATGACGACGACGATGACGACGACGACGGTGGTTCCATCGTGATCAGCGCGTCCGACAACGAATGACTACGCTACTCGCAGCATAACATGTTATAAATGCAGACATGTATGTTCACCAACGCGAATATTATCATGCACTAGTAAAGGGGGCACGAAACGCCTCTCAGAACTATTGCCATGGGCCGTTGCGTCAGCAATTTATGCGAGCTATGTAGTAGTGAATAGTCATATAGAACAATCCACCTAAACGTGTCATTCAGAAGTACGCAACACCCAAAAAAAAAAGTATTCTATTTGTAAAGTGATTTTTCCCATAGTCTCATATTCTGAGCGAAGCCTCTTACAACAAGAGAATTCCCCTTTCGATGAAGAGATTAAAATAAACCTTTCATCTCAAATTTATTAGATATTATTCTATTTTTCTCTTATTTCAAGGGGATTTCCTCTTGTATCAATTAATTTTCCTCTTACATCAGGAGGAACTTTTGTCGGCGTTTTTCCTCTTCCATCTACTCATACAGAGACTCTCTGTGCATATGACGATCATCGCCGTTGCCTTTTGTTTTATGGACAACGTCGAGAAACGTAGAGCAAAGGAGGAAAGAAGAAAAATCGGTATTCAGTGTATGTTGTTTCGTCATGAACGAAGTGCAAGGATTTCGAGAGAAAATCAACTTAAAAACATACTTGCCTATATTTCAGCGTAAATACGTACATATATTCATTTATCGTATCGCGTTGTACATTACATTAAGTGCCATTTAGAATATTAAAAGTTACAAATTTATATTATTTCCTACTTTCTCAGCAGAAAGTAAAAAAAAAAATTTAACTAGAATTTTTTCTGAACAGTTTCATAATTTTCTCTCCTTTCTCTATAAAGAAACGTATAACTAGTAGCAGTAAAATACAGTAAGAATAGATAATAATCCTCTTAAAAAAAGATTAAATAATCTGTATATAAGAGAAAATTTATATTAAAATCAATAAGATTTGCATCATACATATAACATATAATCCTTCTAACTTTAAAAATAATATGTTTATAATATTTTTCTCTTAATTTTAGAGGAATCCTCTTGCCTACCCTATATATATAAGAGCAAAATCCCCTAAAATTTAGATGACTCCGCTTGTTCTGAAACTTTTTTTGGATGAACTTCTCTGCAAAATCGAATTATGGCGAATCCCATAGAGAGGAACGTTCCGCTCCAAAAAGACATTTTAGCATTTTCTTAAGGATAACGTTTCCCTTAATATATCAAATTTCCGCACGATTGTTGAAAATCTTACAACGTCGACTATATGCAAAGATGCATGCACAGTTGGTTTATGTTTAGGTTAAATTAGATGAGGCTAAATTTTCGGATAAATTTTAAATTCGGAGAGATGATGAGAGGCGAAGCCTCTCCTTCTCGTATATGTACCATTTAATATTTGTAATATACAAGTTGGGGCATCTAAAACAGGCCACATGAATAACTCCCACAGTTTTCGAGATAGGAAAAAATGCTTGAAATAAAATTGTATGGTATCGAAGGGGACATCTTGTGGAGGTAAACATTTTTTCCTAGATGGAGGTGCTTAGGAGATTTGAAGGTCATCTCCATTTTTTTAAATGAGACCATGCATTTTCGAATACCTACGATTGAAGCTTACCTCGAGACGAATACAATGATTATACATGCTCAAGGTCACGAACATAATGCCATTTGCATTCGGCACATAGTTATATGCAAATTGGCTGTAGTCGGTTAAGCTTATGCGTTGCAGTCAGAATTTCCAGGATAAGCCCAAGGTCGTACATATACATGTATGAGAAATACACCGTTTTTTCCAGTATGTGTACTGCTTGTGTACAAAGGAGATAATCTTTAGCACGCCGATAGTGACCGAAGTGGTCAACAAAAACGCGAAGATCAATGAGAATACCGACGATGAAGATGATGACGTCGGTTCCATCATGATCAACACGTTCAAGAACGAATGGCTACGTCGCCCGCGACGCAGCATTATAAGTACATACATATACGTTCATCAGCGCAAATCGTATTATGTACGAGTAGAGGGGACACGAGAGATACTGTTACAGGCCGTTACATCTGTAACTTGTGCGAGTTATGTAACAGTAAACAGTCGTATGCAACGATCCTTTTAAACATGTCACTTCAAACGCATGCAATTTTCCGACAAAAGCGAAATGTAGCAAAGAGCACAAAGAGGAACTTCCCGCTCCGAGACGATATTTCGGTTCTTTCTGAGAGATAATATCGCCCTTACTTCATCGAATTTCCGATTGTTGAAAAAATTTCCTTAAAATGTCCAACGATATATGAAAAAATATATAAGTTAGTTTGGGTTAGGTTGAATTTTACTCAAAGATGGGGCGCTCATATGTACTGTATAATATTTTTAATATATTCAGCGTCGCAAAAATAAGTTCTATTTATTAAACTTCTTTTATTAATTGCTTTTTTAATGAACAATAACCGACGCGAAAGTTGTTTGCAAGTTAGAGCTGCGCCCTTCATAATATATGTCAAGGTCATTGAAATAGATAAGTTCGACAATAATATTAATATTTAGTTATCTCGCGAATGGAGAAAATATGCCGCCTTTCATGCTGTTTTCCTATGCAAATATGTACCTCAAACGATTTACTTCTTGCATTAGATCATGCAAAACTCGTGTTATGCTTTGTGGACCAAATATAAAAACTACTAATCAGGCTCATAGTGAGTATGTCGGGTAAAACGTAAGAATAATGAGTTACGCCCGTGTTATGTTTTACAGACCAAAATAAGAAAGGCATACGAGACTTGTTTTGTATTATGATTCATGTGATTATAATGTAATGTTAATGCATGTCGGAATGTATTCATAAAAATTAATCGCGATTTTATACTAATAATTTTAGGTTATAAAATTTTAGGTTATAAAAATTAGGTTTTATACTAATAAGCGCCGTACCGTTAACGCTTCTATGTTGACGAATCTATGCGATTGGTACAAATTCGAGTTCATGGCCACACTGCTTGAAATACTGACGCATGAACCACTTTGACACCCGCCGAGTATAGCGTACGCCGTCATGATTTAAATCACAGTGCAAGAACTTAACCCTGCGAAAATAATCTCCCATGTTGCTCTCTTTTAAACTTTCAATTTCTGGTTTCTCTTTTTAAGCTTATTTCTCATGGAAACGCGAAGATATCAGATCAACCAAATGCCTCGTACGGTTTTACCGATATAACAAAACTAAAAAGGAAGAAAAAGAGAAAGAAAGAAAGAGAGAGAAAGGGAAAGAGAGAGAAAAAGAGGCCTGCGATTAAAATCAACATCGAAATTTGCTCCCGAAAGCCTGTCTAATTAAATTAATTTCCACGAAAGATAAATAAACACACAAAGTGTATTATTTGTAGATTATCTTCAAAATTTATAACTTTTCCAGGAAAAAAAACGTTGGTGACGTTGGTGAACGTTTTATTATTACCATATGATTATTCGTTGATGACTAAATGTTTCATATATTGCAATAATTAATTATTATATACAATATACTACGTTTATTAAACATATAAAAAATATATATATGACAGAAGATTAATATAACAAAAAATATAAAACAAAATTAATATAACAAAAAATATAAAACATGACATTCGATTGTTATTGCTTTCATATAAGTTCAAGTCGGCAGTAAGGAAATATGAGGAATGCTTATCGCTATCACGCATGAGAAAATGCTTGACCTTCATGTCGTAATAAAACAAGCCTCGCGGATTCCGATTACTCCTAACAGCTGTCTTATTAACCCTTTGCATTCCGCACCATCTTGGACGTTGGCTACCAGCTACTCGGCGCCACTTTGTTGCAAAGACGCGCACTTACGAACCCTGATATTATATAGTATAGCTTTGGAACCAAGTAAGGTATTATAATGATGTTTGATTTATATGAATTTGTAGACATATCGAAAAATATATATTTGCAAAAAAATCAACATTTTACTTCTTATAATTTTGTACAGTATGACACATTTTGAAACCAATATGCATTGCAGGCTGATTTGTGCACGTTTCACAATAATAGGTCGTTTGACGTCTTCCACTTGGCGTTTTTCTATCAGAACGAACAATACAGTCCCGTTTTCTTTCTCCCACATAGGGAATATGTAGTTTATTGTTCAGTCTGTTGTCCGCTGAAGATATGGATGGACGTATTCTCGGTTCCCGAAAATCACCTCTCAACTGGTCTATAAGAATTTTGACAAACTTGTAGTGTGTCATTGGTGTTTGATTATTTTTTTTCTTCTGAAGTGCGATAAATTATATAGGAGTTAATGACACACATTTCCAGTCCCCAAAAAAATAATTTCCTCCACCATTTCATTGATTTGATATCTTGTGCCATTTCAACAGAAAACTTCAGAGAAACATTCATTTCTCAAGAAGTTGCGCTGGGATAAGTTGATTCCCCGGAATCACTAATGAACTTTAATGTCTCCTCAGAGGGGACATCCGAGTGATATGCTGACGATATCCCCTGAGAGGGGACAACGGAGTGCAAAGGGTTAATACACGCACATTGAATATCTCAATTATAGAATGACTAAATCTATACAAAACACTATCCTTCCCTCCTACGATATTCGGTTTCATTTCTGCCTCTTCTCTAAGGCGAGCCAAAATCCACCATCAGGCTGCAAGAAAAACTGCTCCTTATCAAACACGACGGGCTCGACAGTCTTCTCCGTAGTTTTAAAAACGAATTTCTGAAGAAGGTGAGCTACCAACAGCTTCGTCTCCATGAGGGCGAAGCGATTGCCGATGCACTTCCTGGGCCCGAGGCCGAACGGCACATACGTGTACGGCACGATGTTGTCCTTGTTCTCGTCGCTGAACCTCTCGGGGTCAAACTTGGAGGGGTTCGGGAAATATTTTGGATCATGGTGCAATGAGTAAGCAGATACCATCATCGCGCAGTCGGGTTCGACGACGACGCTCTTGTAACCGGCCTTCGCCGGCGGAAGCTCGTATTTCTTAACGCAAAGCCTGTCAATGAACGTCATCGGCGGATACTTCCGCAGAGCCTCCGACACTACCATGTCCATGTAAGCCATCTTCGACAATGTCTCGTAGGTGATCTCGCCGTTATCCTCGACGAAGTGCTTCTCCACCTCCTCCCACAGGCGTTCTTGGATGTCCTGATGCACCGCGAGCTCATGGGCGATGAAGCACATGAGAGTCGACGACGTCTCGAAACCGGCGAAGAAGAAGATAAAGGCTTGTGCAACAATGTCGTCCAGCGTCATCTCATGCACACTGGGATTCTCCTTATCTTGAGCTTGCATCAACAAGTGAATCATGTCTGGCCGGACGATACCTTGTTCTTTCCGGACTCTGATGGTCTCCGCTACGATATTCTTGAAGAACTGCGACATGGCCGGCCGGAAGAGGCTTATACCTAGCATTTTTCCCAGTCGCGGAAACGCACGGAAAAGCATGAACTTTAGCATGGACTTGAAGTTACCAAACTGGGTGGCCTCGATTCCCTTGATGAAAAACTCATTGTCCCTGTCCTTCATAGAGTTAACGCTGATGCCGAAGGCCGATGTGGCGATCACGTCGGTGGTATATCGCCTGAAGGCTTCTTTCGTGTCGATGGAAGAACACAGCTCTGGATGATCGGCCAAGTATTCAACGAACTCGCGGGAACATTTGGATATTAGTTCGAACATGGCCTTCATCTTACTAGCGGTGAAGGAAGGGCTCAGCGTGTTCCTCATCTTTTTCCAGCGGTTACCGCGCAAGGCGAAGACGTTTTTACTGAACAACGGATCTATCTCTTCGCTCCCGATGCGATGATCCGGGAAGTAGTCAAAGTCCTTCACCATCACGTCCCTGATCAGCTCAGGATCGTGCAGGAAGACGGTAGGAGTGCCCATGTCCATGTGGCCGATGTACTTGGCGTCCGGCATATAGTTGTGGATAAATTGGCTGAACTCAATGACGGTTATGCGTCGCAGAAACATCTTCCAGGACATTTCCATAGCAGGAATCATGCGTATATAAGGGACACCTCGTTTCTTCCAATACGTGTTTTTATAATACAGATAGGAGATGGCCCTCAACACGCCGATTGTGACCAAAGTGGTCAACAAAATCGCAAAGGGCGACGAGAATAACGACGACAGAAAGAACGACGACTCCATCGTGATCAGCATGTCCGAGAACGAACGACTGCGCGATTGGTGACATAGCATGTTATAAATAGAGATATAGACGCTCATCAGCGCGAATCTTATCGTGCACGCGTAGAAGGGGCACAAGAGAAATACCACTCTCAGGCATTACAGGCCGTTGCATCTACAACTTCTACGAGTTACATAGCAGCAAACAGTCGTATTCAACGATCATTTTAAACTTGTCATTCTAAACGCACGCAATTTCTCGGCAAAAGCAAATTATGACAAATCCTACAGAGGTACGTTCCGCGCCGAGACGTCGGCACTTTCTATGAGATAATATCTCGCTTAACCAATCGAATTTCCGCACGATTGTTGAAAAAGTTTCCTTAAAACACGCATGCTCGACCATATACGAAAAAATGTATAAGTTGGTTTGTATTAGATTAGGTTGGATTTTACTCGAAGATGTTACGTTCATACATACTGTTTCACATTTTTTAATGTATACAACGTCGTGAAAATAAGCTTTATTTATTACATTTCTTTTGTTAATTGCTTTTTTAATGCACAATAAACGACGCGAAATCTTTTTGCAAGTCAGAGCTGCGTCCTTCATAATATATGTCAAGGTATTTGAAATAGATAAGTTCGACAATAATATTAATATTTAGTTATCTCGCAGGTGAATAGAGAAAACATGCCTTTCATGTTGTTTTCTTATGCAAATATATATCTTAAATGATTAACGTCTTGCGTTACAACATCGTGCGAAACTTGTGATATGCATTATGGGCCAAATATAAAAACTACTACTCAAGTTCATAGTACGTATGGCGAGCCAAACATAAGAAGTATGAGTCACGCCCGTGTTATGTTTTACTGGCCAAAGTAAGAAAGATGTGTGAGATTAGTTTGTATTATGATTCATGTAACTATATTGTAATGTTAATGTATGTCAAAAAATGTATTCGTAAAAATTAATCGTAATTTTATGAGTTTTATACTAATAAGCTCCGTACCGTTGATATCTACGCGATTGGTACAAGTTCGAGTTCATGGCCATACTGCTCGAAGTGCTGACACGTGGACGACTTTGACACCTGCTGAGTGTGGCACGCGCTGTCAGAATTTAAATCATAGCGTAAAGAGTTAACACTGCGAAACCTCCTATGTTGCTCTCTTTTAAACTTTCAATTACTGATTTCTTTTTTTAAGATAATTTCTCATGGAAGTGTGAAGAATCATCAGATGCCACGCGCCGTTTTGCCGATATACCGAAACGAGGAGAGAGAGAGAGAGAGAGAGAGAGAGAGAGAGAGAGAGAGAGAGAGAGAGAGAGAGAAAGAGAGACAGAGACAGACAGACAGAGACAGAAAGAAAAAGAGAGAGAGAGAGAGAGAGAGAGAGAGAGAGAGAGAGAAAGAGAGACAGAGACAGACAGACAGAGACAGAAAGAAAAAGAGAGAGATTAAAGTCACGGTTAAAACCAAAACGTCTAAACTTGCTCCCAAAAGCCCGCCTAATTAAATTAATTTCCACAAAAAATAAATAAACGCACAAAGTTTATTGTTTGTTGATTACCTCCAAAATTTATAACCTTTTCAGAAAAACAGATGTTGGTGGCATAGTGAATGTTTTATTGTTATCACACGATTATTCGTTGGCGACAATATATTTCATATACTGCAATAATTAATTATTATATACAATATAAAACATATATTAAACATACAAAAAATATATATACGATACAAAATTAATATTACAAAAAACATAAAACAGTAACAATGGCATTCAATTGTTAATTTCATATAAGTACAAGTCGGTAGCAAGGGAATATGAGGAGTGTTTATCGCTATCACACATGAGAAAATGCTTGACCTTCATGTCGTAATAAAACAAGCCTCGCGGATTCCGATTACTCCTAACAGCTGTCTTATTAATACACGCACATTGAATGTCTTAATTATAGAATGACTAAATCTATACAAGACACTATCCTTCCCTCCTACGATATTCGGTTTCATTTCTGCCTCTTCTCCAAGGCAAGCCAAAATCCACCATCAGGCTGCAAGAAGAACTGCTTCTTGCTGAAGACGACCGGCTCGACAGTCTTCTCTGTAGTCTTGAAGACGAATTTCTGAAGAAGATGAGCTACCAACAGCTTCGTCTCCATGAGGGCGAAGCGATTGCCGATGCACTTCCTGGGCCCGAGGCCGAACGGCACATACGTGTACGGCACGATGTTGTCCTTGTTCTCGTCGCTGAACCTCTCGGGGTCGAACATGGAGGGGTTCGGGAAGTATTTAGGGTCATGGTGTAGTGAATAAGCAAATGCCATCACCACGCAGTCAGGCTCGACGACGATGCTCTTATAACCGGCCTTCGCCGGCGGAAGCTCGTATTTCTTGACACAGAGCCTGTCGATGAACAACATCGGCGGATACTTCCGCAGAGCCTCCGACACTACCATGTCCATGTAAACCATCTTCGACATTGCATCGTAGGTGATCTCGCCGTTACCCTCGGCGAAGTGCTCCTCCACCTCCTTCCATAGGCGGTCTTGGATGTCCTGATGCACCGCGAGCTCATGGGCGATGAAGCACAAGAGGGTCGACGACGTCTCGAAGCCGGCAAAGAAGAAGATGAAGGCCTGCGCGACGATGTCGTCTAGCGTCATCTCATGCACACTGGGACCTTCCTTGTCTTGAGCTTGCATTAGCAAATGAATCATGTCTGGCCGGACGATACCTTGTTCTTTTCTGACTCTGATGGTCTCTGCTACGATCTTCTTAAAGAACTGCGACGTGGCCAACGGGAAAATGCTTATGCCCAACTTCCTTCCCAATCGCGGAAAGGCACGAAGAAATGTGAACTTTAGCATGGACTTGAAGTTACCGAACTGGGAAGCCTCGAGTCCCCTGATGAAAAATTCGTTTTCCCGGTCTTTCATAGAGTTGACACTAATGCCGAAGGCCGATGTGGCGATCACGTCTGTGGTATACCGCCTGAAAGCCTCTTTCGTGTCGATGGAGGAACACAGCTCTGGATGATCTACCAGATATTCGACGAACTCGCAGGAACACTTGGACACTAGCTCAAACATGGCCTTCATCTTACTAGCGGTGAAGGAAGGACTCAGCGTGTTTCTCATCTCTTTCCAGCGGTTACCGCGCAAGGAGAAGACGTTCTTACTGAACAACGGGTCTACTTCTTCACTCGCAAAGGTGCGGTGGTCCGTGAAGTGCTCGAAGTCTTTCACCATTACATCTCTAATCAGTTCAGGGTCGCGCAGGATGACGATAGAAGTGGCCATGTCCATGGAGCCGATGTACTTGGCGTCCGGCATATAGTTGTAGATAAACTGGCTGAACTCGACGATGCTTATGCGTCGCAGAAACACTTTCCAGGACATTTCCATGCCCTGAATCATACGTATGTAAGGGGCACCCCGTTTCTTCCAGTACGTATTCTGATAGTACAGATAAGAAATGGCCTTCAGCACACCGATTGTGACCAAAGTGGTCAACAAAATCGCAAAGGGCGACGAGAATAACGACGACAGAAAGGACGACGACTCCATCGTGATCAGCACGTCCGAGAACGAATGACTGCGCCATTCGTGACATAGCATGTTATAAATAGAGATATGGGCGCGCGCGTAGAGGGGGCACGAGAGAAACGCCACTCCCAAGTATTACATGACGTTGCATCCACAACTTGTGCGAATTATGTAGTAGTAAACAGTCGTATGCAATGATCTTTTTAAACGTGTCATTTCAAGCGCACACAATTTTTCGGCAGAAGTGAATTATTCGGTTACGAGGACCAAATTACAGAGGATTACAAATGTGTAAGCAGTCTTATCTCTCGTTTTAAGCATAAAAGATGCTCAATGAGAATTAAACGCCGAGAGGTAAATGGTTATAAGGCGTGAAGATGCATTTCGTATTATCACTTATTCTTCTTTCTTTTTGCTGACTGTTAAAAGTTGTAAAGTTTTGTAATGGGGTTCTTAAGTCGAGTGGTTCAAATCTAGATATCAACGATCAGCCTCATAGATAAAGAGTAATCGTCGCCTTAATCATTTTTGCTTTGTAACGATGACATGTATAATATCTGCGAATCTTACATCATTCTTGCATGAAAATCTTCATTTAAGTGTTGCCACCGATCTATCGACTTTAAACTCTCATCTCTGCCCTCGAATTCACGCGAAAAGGATCGCGATAAGATCCGAGTGTTTTTGTACAAGTAATATCTTTATAAACGTAACGAGTTCCCGTAATAATCTCAAGTTCGCAGAATCATCTGGATTTTAAGCGGTTGGACTCGTTGGAACAAAATAAATGGGAGAGGAACACCGTTTGATAGAATAAGATAGTAAACTAGGAGACAAAATGTCTACCGAAGAATTATCGTGAAAATTATCGATGGAATTTGAATCTTAAAATAATTGTCTCGTAAAATATCTTAATGATGAAAATGCTGAAAAATTCAGATTACATATCATCAATTCAAATATATAGGGTGTTCGGGATCTTTTGGAAACGAAAAACTGTGAAGATTAATCAGATAAAATTGAGAAGATAAGTCAATACCATTTTGCAAAAGTTGCAATAGTTATTAAGTTATTAATGATTAAAGATGACTACATCTACAGGCTCTTTTAACCCTTTCACTGCTGAATTAACTTCCCTTGAGAAAATTATTAAAATATTTGGTAGTCCTACGTTTTTTGGATCGCTGATTACGAATCTAAAGTCAGATTTGCAAAATTCAAAATGGCGAGTTCAATATGGCAACAATAATGTACGAAATTGATAAAAAGTTCGATTATTATTGATGATATATGGGTTTTTCGAATCGCTGATTACGAATCTGAAGTCAAATTTGCAAAATTCAAAATAGCGGATTCAATATGGCGACCATAATGTACGAAATTGATAAAAATCCCGATTAGTATTAATGATATATCGGTTTTTCGAATCTTTGGATTACGAATCTGAAGTCAGATTTACCGAATGGAAAATGTTCAATACTGCATATTTATGCTTACTAGAGATTAAATATTCATTTTTGAGTAAAATAATATTGATAGTATGGATAAGATGGAGATACAGAATGAGAAAACTAGGAAAATAGAGCTAAAAAGTGCAAAAAATCAAATTCCGGCCGTTTTTGTAGAAATATTTGTTTATAAAAAAAAAATCTAACCTGCAAAAAAATACTGAAAAAAATTATGTTTTTGTACAACATCAGAAAAATATTTGGTGAAAATTTCAAACCTCTACATTCAATACTCTCCGAGAAATCGATTTTCCCCTAAAAAAAGCATTTTTTCAACTTTGATTTGTTATAAATAATCACAAATTAATAATTGGGTATAAAACCTGTTGGAGTATGTTGAACAACTATTCAGTTATCTGGAAAACTTAAATCCCCGATTAGGTCTTCAAAATTATGTAATTTACGACGCAAAATTGAGTTAAGAAAAGGTGGGAAATATACTTCTCACTAACAGTGAAAGGGTTAATTGATAATTTGAAAATTTGCGTACTTATTTGCAAAATGATAAAAGACCTTTCTTGTTCAAAATGACCTAATCTACAATTATATGATGGCTATTGAGCCTAGCAACAGTTTCAAGATTCAGGGTTCAAAGTTTAATATATTCATATCTATCGTAATAGCCGTCATATAATTGTAAGTTAGGTTATTTTGAACAAAAAATCCTCTACAAAGAAGCACGCAATTTGCAAATAAGTACGCAAATTTTCAAATTATCAATTAAAAGAACCTTTAAATGTGGTCATTTTCAATCATTAATAATTTAATAACTATTGCGACTTTTCTTTTCAGTTTGATCTGATTAATTCACAATTTCACAATTTTCTTCACAATTCAATCTTCACAATTTTTTGTTTCCAAAAGATCCCGGACACCCTGTAGGTCACATAATTAGAGAAATCATTCGAACATTGATGTGTTTGGAATTAAAGTCATCGTTCTTAACACCTGTCTCCTTGTATTGCGTCGACAGTACAATATTTTTAATTTTAGTTCAATGAAAAAATATTATATAATGGATTTTATAACGTAAGATACAAAATATGATAAGAGAGAAAAAGATATTGCATATTTCTCCTCACAGTTACTCGATTTTTCTTCTATATCGTGTGATTAAACTTTCCGATGATTGATACGGTCGCGAGTTAATTGTCTTAATCATCGGTCGTGTGCCATAGCGATAATTCCGTGCTAATTAATCGCTATCGCCGAGCGCGATCGGACGGTGTGTTTTGCACGCAAATAAACCGAGGCATCTAAAGAATACGAGATTTAAACACTCACCGATGAAGACGAATATCTGGTGGTGCGAGTACCGCAGCAACATCGAGATCGACACCGTCTGAAACAGCGAAGAGCGAAAAGCCCATGATTGTCAAATTCGCATGCTCGTCCTGATTGAAATCGCGCAATACGGAGATATTGGGCGACGCGTACGTTGCAATTAGCGCGGGGACGCGATTGACGTTGATTAAAAACGTCGATCCGCATTATGGGTTACGGATATTCTGAAATTTTACGCGAGTACCTTTGACAAAGTTACGTAAATTGCGAACTGGTCGCTCGCGTAGTCGGTTAGCGGGTTGAGCGAATGTTGAAATTGAATTGCGATCGGTTCAGATTGAACCAGCACCTGACACCCTCGAAGATAATCCACTATTTGCAACAGCCAGCCTTGCAGTAATGGGGGAGGGTCGTTCGATCCTATCTTATACGAATGCGCGGATATTATTAAAAAAAGTAGGAGGAGAAAAGACGAGAGGAGAGAGAAAGGACGGGAGAAACGAAGTAAATAAAATCGAAGAAAAGGGAGCTACTTATTGTCGGCTTCTCCTGAAGGATAATATCGACTCGTTAACGTGACATATCGTGGACCAGATGTGTAGTTGTAACGTTTTATTCCGAATCAAACATATACGATTAATATCGAAATACGAAAGTATAAATACAGTCAAATTGGAGATGTTAAATGTGAAAAAGAAGTCTTTGACAATATATAAACAAATAAAATTAAATTACAGAACGTTTCGGATCGGAATATATGGTGATTTTAATCGCGATGTAATTAAAACGGGAGCTTTATAAAAACTAATGTCGAGAAACAAGTGTGTGTGAATGTAGAGCCGTGTTTCGCAACGAGTGCGAACGCGCAAATAATTTCACTGAATAATTCAATAATGTTGTTGCCCTCGATGGACTCTTCAGACAGGTTAATCAACTAGATTCCTCAGGAACGACTAATCAGTTTGGCTCTTATCGTTCTTGCGTTCTCGTATTTCGATTTTAAACTCAGAGCTCTTAATTATTTATGCGAATCAGCGCGATCAATCGCTATTCCGATAATATTTTCAATGCGAAATTCATTAAGATATTATCCCTTACGAAACCGGATTTACGAATTTATTGCGTTTCATCATCCTGTGAAAGAGGTGAATCGATGTTTCCGATTCTCTCTCTCTCTCTCTCTCTCTCTCTCTCTCTCTCTCTCTCGCTCTTTCTCTGTCAGGCTTCGGAACATTAAAAGCGATTCTTCGTCAACTCACGTTTTCGGTCCGCGACATGTTAACAATCGTTCATTCACCGAATGAGACAATTCGCGAAATTGTTTACTCCTTTGTCAACACGACACTGCAGCAGAAATATCGTTGTGAATGCGAAAAGCCGGACGCACGGGGCATCTATCACGGTTGTAAAATCGAGAACGAAAATCCGCCATGAAATAAACATCCGTCCCGATTCCGTTCTATCTTCGTCGAGCTCATGCGGTTCTCCCGCGATGAGCTCGATATCACATGTTGTCTGTTCTCGCGGATGCCCGCGTTAAACCAATATTCCCCGCAATTTCTCGCAATTTCAGACTCCCCTTTCGAGCCCTCTCTCCTCCCACCCGCTGCCCCAACCACTTCCCCGACGGAGCGTGTCGCGGCTAATAGACATCTCTTATGATAAATCCGGCGAATGTATGACGGACGGACGGCCAATCGAACTCGGCATAAGAGAGACGCAGGCGAGGCCTCCGGAGAGGGTGGAAGCGGATGCAAGCGACAAACGCGCAAACACACAGAGACAAATAAGGAGGAAAGATAAAGGAAGAGGGAATAGTATTTCATATACCGGATCACATTGTAACGGAGCGCCGGACGTCGCATGCACATGACAGAGGAGATAGACGGTGATACGTGCACGACGACAGTCGCGTGCACGTGACTCCGACGGCGGGCCAGCGGGGGTGGCTGACGGGGGTAAACCCTCCAGGCAGTTGGGGCTCGAATTCACGTGTCGCGGCACGAGCGATGCGCAATGCTCGCCCCCGTCCAACTCCCTTCTGCCCCGCGCCTCCGCCACCCCCCCGGCGACCCCTTTTACTACCCGATAAACTCCGATCGGCCGAACGCTCCGCGCTGCAAAGCGAACCGCATTGTCCAGTCTGAAGAACAAAATGTCTCACCGCCGAGCGATAATAGCAGTCACGAGGCGTGTGCCGTGTACAGCGAATTCGCAAACGTCGACAACGATGACGACGATGATGACGACGCAGTCGCAAGAAGCTACCGCGATGCAATCGTCCCGCGGAAATGGGATGATTTCGATCGTTAGCGCGATTTCAACAAGAGAGAGGAAGAGAAAAAAACAAAGTGATTGACGCGTTCCGGGTGTAACTAAATTACACGCGCAATCGCGTGTTTGCTGTCGTAATGAGGATGTACAGGTCTCTCTCTCTCTCTCTCTCTCTCTCTTTCTCTTTTCGTACACGGAGAGAATATTATAGCTTTTACTTTTTTCCCTTAGCAAAATTGAAAAGAATTTTGCTACGTAGGAATAGATCGTCACTAGAATTTTTCCGACTAAGATACATAGGACCGGATTTTCAATCGTGGTTTAAACTAAAGATTATCTATATGATCCTTCCTTGATCTATAAACCTAGTTTTACGTCTTGCGTGTTTTTCAAGCATACGCTAAAGACAGTTTAGACAAACTTTTGTTATTCTTAAGTTGGCAACGAAGAGTCATCGCTGTGCGAGTTACTTTTAGACACGTGGAGATTTAATTCTAATATGAGTGTAGTTTAGAGCACTCACACTATGTAGAAATCTTGCAATATTGTAAAACTTTTCATGAAGTCTTTGAATATTTTCTTCTATATTCAGAAATTTTACATGCGAAAGTCTAAGTTGAGCAATTGCCTTTGAAACTTTATTAATTACTTTACTTGCTGTACTTTTATGAATACCAACAAAATCACCTACGCTTATCAAAAAAGATCCACTAACATAAAATCTTAATGTTAATAATATCATTTCAAATATTAAAAGATTTCTGGAAAAAAATAAAAAAATACAATATAAATAAATTTGATATTATTCATATAATATTCATTATTAGTAAACATATTTTGCAACTAGTTAATTAGTTAAAACTAATATAATTGAAAAATATTCTATATATTTCATTTAATTTATACAATAGACATATATCAATATCTTTCAGTTGGTGATTGAACAGTGTCTTGAATTTTTTCTATTAACATATGAACTGTAATTTTGGATAAGCAAAATCTTTGAAGAAATTCTTTTTCCCAAATTTTAAAATGATTTTCAATATAATAATAGAGACACTGTATTAAATGTTTAAACGGTCATCATTCATAGTTTAGTTAAACCATACTTAAACTACGTTTTATTCTGATCTATCCATTGAAAAACAGTCTAATGCTTTTGAACAGAGTTTAAACTTCGATCTAAGTTTAAATCATTATTGAAAAACCGGCCCATGGTAATTTTTTTAATAGTAGATTTGGCTTTTAAAGTATAGATAACACGATAACATATATATACAGGATATATGAAATATATAAAAAATAATAAATAAGAACCAATAAAATATATTAAAGGTAACGAATAAGATATCGAAGATAATGAAGTATACGTAGCGCAATGTATAAATGGAAATGCCTAAACTAAGATAGAATGTCGAGACATGTTTCTTAATTGCAAAATTTTAATACGCTCAGTCTCTCCCCAGAAATCCGTGTTGCACACGTGCGACCGCGATAATATTTCTCTTTTCACGCGCACATACAAAGAAAAAGCAAGTTCTCTTTTGTACAATTTATTTGACGTTGCTATATATTACTTGTTTTGCAATCTGCTCCTTTAAATCTTATACAATAGCGTAAAAAAGAAAACAAACATAAAGTTCCCCAGATGAACCGTGATAGCGAATGTATTAAAGCAGAATGCCGATGTGTTCCTCGGTTACAGGATTCCACAGTAATTTTCGCTAGCAATATCTCTCCGTGTACAGTTTATCGTCGCGTATTGTTAATCGGGAAAGACTACGAGTACCGATACACGACACACGCGTTAAACATGCTTATTAAGAGTATCGCCTCTTAATGAGAGATCTCGCGAGGTGACGATGATCTCTCTTGCCCGCGGTGCGCTGCAATCTATTTCATCACAATTTGATACAAAATTACCGACTTGGGGGCCACTACGACGAATACGATGCCTCTAATAACGTTGATTTATAGCCGACGGTTCAACTCCAAAGGGATCGCACGAGGATGAGCACACGGGGGGATAGAAAGGCTATGCGCGCTGGTTACTTCAGCGGGTGGTTAGCTTGAATTGATTGCCGTATCGTTTTACACGTGTAAGACTATCGTATAGGTGCGCATGAAATCATTCCTCTGATGGCGAGGGATTTATTATCGCCGAAAAAGGACGTACGAACCAACTCGTGTATTCAAGTCAGCGTATCGCGCTCGATACACCCGATGTACACTCCGATGGACAGTCATAATTACCAAATGAAGAAAAACAACCCAGATCCGTTGATAAACATAAACCCGCGGCAACTGTTATTCATGAACCGATACGTTCTGAGATCAAATATCTCGTAATGTAATGATAACTGATCTAATGAAAACTTATTAGTCTAAAAACAGGCAGGAGAACAGTATCCCTGGAACAAAATATAGTTGTAATCCTAAACACTTTTCCAATATAAGTTACACAATTTTGTGCATCTCGTATTTCATTTGTAAATTTCTCTTGACAGGTAGAACCATTTGCACGTAAATCACGTTGCTATTGCAAATTAATATAAGTTAAGTAAAAAATGTTGTGTGTGTTGTGTGTGTGTGTGTGCGTGTGCGTGTGTATGTGTGTGTATACATGATTGAATTATATTATAAACGAGAATGAATACATATCTTAACTTAAAGTTCCAACTAAGATATATGAGAATATATAAGATATATAAGAAAACACATTCATAAAATACTTACAAATACAAGCATGACGAAGAATGCAGCGAGATATGAAGTTCGTGCCATCCACATGCTGACGAATCGGTAGTGTTCTCCGGTTACCACATTCCTATGAGCGAGAAATTAAAAAATTAATCCATCATTCATCAATGTCTACCATCTCTTAAGCTTTTCATTATTACAACGACTGGCCAAAAAACGATTATACGGTATAAAAAATGATTATTTTTTGTCGGTCGGATATTGTAATTTTTAGTACTTAGAAATTGTTTTGCAACAAGCGACTATAGCTGTTGTAATAGAGAAAAAATTAATATGTTTCAAAGCGGTTCTATTATATTGTTTTATATTTATGTTGTTTTATATTTAAAGGAAAAATATTCACCGTAGGAAACCTTTGTTGTCTTCGTGTTCTGCTAATGTTTTGATGCTTGCCATTAACAAATCGTCATAACCCAGAAATTCATCTAAGATCAATCTTGAGAAAGCATCACCGAAGCATTTGTCATTTGATGGATCCAATGTGACGATCTTCACTGGGATGTTTAATCTTTGTCGAGCTGCCGGTGATAACCGCAAAAAACCGTACTCCAACGAATATTCCACAATGTATCCATCTTCTGAAAATATAGAAAAAATACATTACGTTACAGAAAACAGTTAGATTAAAATTTTAACGTAGTTTATGTAAATACAGATATTTACATCCAAATATTCACAGACAAAATTCGCAGTCATGTAATTTTTGCATAAACTAACTTAATAATCCCAAAGAGTAACTGTATGTAAATTGTTTCATTATTACAAACTACAAAATAAAATATTACAAAAATCTTTCCATGAAATATTTAAGACAAAAAATATTACGAAATATATATATTATTATGTTCAAACTATCCGAAAATATGCACAATATATTCCATTCAAGATATTCACCTATCCTAGCTGTTTTATCAGCATCCAAACGATCTTTCAGTGGTTGTATAACACTGTCTTCATTTGAGCGATTAACATCAGGTACTTCCGTGGAATTACCCTCCGTTTTTGTAAAAGGTAACTCTTCATTAGGTGACTAAAATATATTGTTTTATCACTGATTTAAATATTCTCTAAACGTTTGTAAACCAAAAGTATGCAAATTGTTCCTTAACTATTTCTTAATTGTTCCTTAACGTAAATAGATAAAATATGAAAAATATATGACTTCGAAATGTTAGATTATTTTATTAAGTAATCAACATTCAGATCAGGAGATATACGTACTGTTTTCTCTGCTATATTTAAACCATCCCAAAACATAGTGGATAATGGTGGGTTTATCGTTGTATTTGTTGTACTTAAATTAGGATTTTCTACCTCTCCAGGAATTGTGGGACTACTTATAATCATATCTTGCTCAGGTAATGTTATATTTCCACGATTTTCCTCATCAGGAACATTCGCAGTTTCCCGTTCTTCATCTACAGCTGAAGGTTCAATGTTTATAAACCTGTTGTGGCAGACAAATATAAATTAACTATAAGTTCAAAGATGCATACTAATATACTTGTATAAATCGATACTTATATTTATGTTATATTATACAACTTACCCATCTCTGGTTAATATTCCCAAGGTACCCGTTAAATCATCAACTTTCTCTTGTCTCAGTTTTTCCTCTTTGGCATAACTTTTCTCTATACTGTAGTCCTCACCACCATTCCTAAGAATCTCAACTCTCAATATGCCATCCCGTGGCCACTCATCTCTTATATGCTCTAAACAATTAGTTGGTGCTCGTGAAAATACTATGTGAATATAAGCCAATACAAAAAATGCCACTATTGCCTGTAAAAAGAAATTACACAAAATGGTTTATCAATATCTATTAGTTTTGTATATTTTTCAGGTTAACATATTTTCTTCAAAATATTGCCAAGAATCAATTGAAAAGTTTGTTTTTGAGAAATTCTCATAAAATGTTTTCTTATTAGATATTAAATGCAGTCTAAAGCATATCAAAGAAAAATATGTTAACCTATATGCACACAATCATACATACCTTCAAAAGGACAATAAATTCTATAAATCTCCTGACAGGCCTTGGAAATGTTCGTGCGTAGACTAGCGCCACTTTGATAAATAACGCATGAAATAATCTATCCCGCACATTAATCAGCGGATTTTGATTATTGTTATTTCTAGCTATATTCATGTTATTGTTATTTAAAACTGGTCCTATCACACCAGCCAAACTATGAATATGTGCCACAGCACCGTTTGGATTATTAGGCACTGCAACCACAATACCATCTCCTTGTGGCATTTTGAAGTACTACATAAATTGTTCCCACAAAATAAACTTCACGGGTAAAATATATATATTAACAAGAAAATAATAATTTTAGAAGGCTCTGGTTAATAATTATTTATACACTTGTTGTACACATGTACCATATGTTATAACAAATATTCACATATATGTCATTTGCTACTTATAATTGTTGAGGCAAGCATTCTGAAACAAACAATAAATTGTTTGTCAGCATAAATTAATTCAAATAGATGTTGAAAAATTTAAGAATCATAGCAAAAATTCTAAACACACAGACTCTCTCATAAATTAGACTTAAACTTTATAACATGATCCTTGCGACTTCCAGCATAGAATACTCTTGAATAAAAATATTTTTGCTAATACAATAGTTAATATGATTCAAATAGTACACAGTTCATAACCTATTTGCTACACAACTACGTTTAAATTTTTTCGGGAAAACGGAATAAAAAAAAATACTACAGTCATCACTTTAGGAATTTCACTGCTTACAATTTTTCTTCATTTACATTAAATACGTCTGACTATCACAAAGTGTCGCGCATAAATATTTGTATGCAAAATAGTGACAATATACACTATCTGGTTACGTAATTTTCCAATCGAAAAAAAGACAACATACTCATCGATGACCCAGATTAAACGTTAATTGTATTATCCTTTTTTTTACGACGTGTAATAAATACGTGCTCCAAACACATGTAACGATATAAGATATGTTTTTGGTAGTGTTTTCAGGAATAATATGGCACGTCATACCTCGTGACGGGATCACGATAGAAGTACCAACGCAATAATTACGGCGGTGCCGTCTTGCCTCTCGTTAATATTATTATTCAAGCTGTCGTGAGAACGTCGCATATACTTCCTTCGTAAATAGTCATGAAACTGTCACTTCGTCATATATTTTGATATAACATAAATCGAGTTCACTAATCCAACTACGTATACGAGCGCAGGTATGCCAATCGGTGTGCAAGGTGAGATTTGATGGAATTTATGGCAGATTCACATCGCACGGAACGTTCGACGATTAACATCCAATAGGAAAACTTGCTTTTCGTGAAAAGAAATGAGAGATGCGAATTAAAGTTCCTAAAGAGCTGGTCCTGCTATTGGATGTCTGAACGGCGCGAATCTACGTGCGTGAAAAAACGGTGTGAATTCTCCATTAACAGGTGTCTGTAGTAACCACTCCAAGCCTAAGTCCATTTAAATTTTTGTTGTCGCTACGACACCATAGTGAGTTGTACACGTGAAGATCTTAAAACAATACATCAAGGTAACGCTTATTATTGTTATATTTTATATAAGATAAAATAGAACTCTCTTAAGAACTACTGTATGTATTCATTTATTCAGGTACACAAAAATAATTTCTAAAATCAATGTGAGTGTGTATATATTTACATGTGTTAATATATAATACAATCATGTATTCACCATTATCGCCACAAACTAGTCTGAGCTCAGAATTGAGAAAAATTATAAATGAAAGGAATATGTTAAGCACACGAAGCCGTATGAAAGGTATTTACATCTTACATCACTTGTTAGTACAATATTATGTAGTATTATATTGTGATGTTTATTTCTAGTCTTACATGCCTTGAATGAGGATAATGAGAAATATGCAGAAATAAGGGAGAAGGCTTTGAGGTCACAAGCCATTCAAGAAATATTAACTACAGAAGTCACCTACTTACGACAATTAGAAATTTTAGCAGAAGTAAACTTCAATATATTTTTAATTGCAAGATACTTACAATTTAATTATTAATGTGAATATTTTTTGTTTTAGTTCTTTATACAGCCTATTCTGGAACAAAATTTACTGAATCATCCTATACTTGTTACTTTATTGGAGAACATAAAAACTTTATATAATGTGAGCGGGGAATTGGTAACAGGATTAAAACATAATCCTGACGATATAGCTGAAATATTTCATAAGCTTGCACCCTTTTTCAAATTATATTCAGTTTATGCTTATGATTATACACAAGTGCTAAATTTGTTACAGGTAATTATTAAATATCACAAAAACATGTTAATTTTTAACTACAATGCTGGATTTCTTCAAGATTAATAGTCTTATAACATATAAAAAAACTATTGGTATATCTTTCCAGATTAATCAGGAGACCAATCCTGCCTTTAAAAAGTTTATATGTGACCAAGAAATAAGACCAGAAGTAGATAGAAAATTGCCATCATTGTTAATTACACTAGTTCAAAGGGTACCACGATATCAATTACTCGTTAAGGAAGTATTGCGACATACTCCTTACAATCATAAAGAATATAGGCCTCTGCAGGGTAATTTGTGTTAATAAAAGTTAATTAATAACTATAATATAAATTTTTTTATATATCAAATAACATACTGTACATAATTTATATTAACATATACATTTGTAATATAATCTCAACTTAATTTGTATTGCAGCATGTTTGGTCGAAATAGAGAAGTCTGCAAAGCACATCAACAGCTTAGTCGCACAGAATGAAGAGACACAAAAGTTATTAAACCTCCAACAGTGCATTACCACGTCGATTAATCTGGTTAAACCTGGCAGAATATTAATCAAACAAGGATCCTTGATGCGTGTCTCGAGACGAGGCAATACCGCTTATAAGCGATACTTTGTCCTCTTAAATGACACTTTACTATATTGTAAAGGCGAACCAGAAACGTCATTGAACGTGTCTTGTGTTTTACCCCTAAACAAATGCAGCTTAACTTGTGTTCTAAGCAAAAAGTTGTTCCGTATAACATGCTTACATGAAACATTCCTGTTATATTCGGAACAGGGTGACAGCAATGAATGGATCCAGTCTATACAAAATGCTATCAAAAAGGTATCTCTATATTATTATAAAGAACATGGTTCTTTTAGCAAGTGTATATAAAACATACTGATGCACTATTTTATTTTCAGTATATTGAATGTAGACAAACTTTGAGAAAGGAAAGCAGCTCGAGAAAGCCACTTAGGCATAATAATATCAATGAATTTCCGTCGGATGATATACCAAAAAGATCTAGAAAGAGGAAAAGATCTATAGAAGATAAACAGGTGATAATTATTGTGTTTTAAACAAATTGTTTATGTATTTTTATCGCTTCGCATAAAAATTACTATGCTTTTAAATATAATAATAGGAAATTAATTGCTATATCTTTCACAGGTTCCTCTAGATTCTTCCAATATTATATACTTTAAGAAAGATAAGACAGATGAAGATGATATTCAACAAGAAAATATGTGTCTACCTTTTTGTAGTAAATCTAAGAAATTTAAACGAATTGAAGACTCTGATACCGATGATGTTGAAACTCAGACAAAAAGTGCAAAATTAAAATTATATAAAAATAAATACAAACAAAGTATATCTGCATATAGACATTTGGAAAAAACAAGCAATAGCAGTGATTCTAATGAGGTAAATGGAATTTTTCCTGGAAAAAAAAATTAATACAAATCAAGTCACATTGCATTCTGTAACGTTAAATGTTTCTCATTTAGGCTTTAGAATCAATAAACAAACATAGAACGAGTAGGCAATCAATCACATCGAGTGTTGGAGAACACCAAACATCATCACCACTTGGAATGATTTCTGGATTTTTTACGCATATCAGAACATCTATAAAAGACTTTTTCACATTGAAATAAAACATCACACAGCATGATAAATAAATAAGGAAGAAATAATTTATATATATTATAATTATATAAAATTATATAATTTTATATGTGTGTGTGTGTGTGTGTGTATATATATGTGTGAGTGTGTATATATAGTATGTTTGTGTATGTATATGTATGTATTGATATATATATATATATATCAATACTTGTAACTTAATAAATTAATAGTAAACATAATTAACTATAATCAATAATTTTAATGTTAAACTTAAATTTAGATTGCAGCTAATAGCCTGCCTTTTGACACGTAGCAATGTCAAGCAATTACTCATTCATCAAAACATTTATATCTCTATTCAGTGGGTGAGAAATATCAATTAAAAAAGTTACCAATTAAGGAAACATTTCATGTGCGCATTCTTTTTCCAAATTTCCAAAAATAAATTCGTATTAACGATTTATTAAAATATAAAAGCCGATAAGTTTCGGTTCAAATCTCGGGTACATTTTCTGAAGGCTGATAAATTCCGGCTTGCTTTTTAGCCAAGACACAAACCATCCTCTATAAAATTTAACCGAAATTAAACGAGATGTTTTTTGTGAACTTTCAAATTGCGATCAATAATATTCGTTGTATTATGTAAAATAACGCAACCTTTGAATTTTTCCCTCCACTGAAAATAACAATAACTGCTTAGAATGCATAATAAAATATATCGCTAATCATTTTATTCGCGTTACACAGAAATTGCGACGTTAATTGCCGCGATATCAGTGTTGCTTTTATCCCTCTTCACGAAAGAACGTTCCTTCTTTTATTCATCATTAAAAAGTAAAATTATAAAACGAGAATCCTACTGATCCGAGAATATTGAGAGAGAGAGAGAGAGAGAGAGAGAGAGAGAGAGAGAGAGAGAAAGAGAGAGAGAGAGAGAGAGAGAGAGACAAATTATACACTATCGAATTAAAAGGCTGATTAATTATTTACCCAATTAGTCAAATCGATCATCATGAGCAAAAGTAAAAGAAAAAACACGAATAGAGAAGAGAAAGACAACAGGATGAACAACAATCAATATCTTAATCCGGGACCAAGAAGAGAATCAACGCTCACAACAGCACACCATGCCACTCCGAAAGCTCGCTCCTTCAGAGGTTAGTCGCTCGCGCGGGTTCAACGGCCGCGCGCAATTTTCGGAGTTGCGGCGCGGCGCTCGGCACCGGTCTAATTCGTCGCGCGGCGGCGTGCCGGTGCGTCGCGTCGCATCGTGTTGCGTCGTGTTGCGGTGCAGCGTGGCGTGGCGCGGCAACGGGGCGTAATATATCAATTGCAAAAAGTAATATTGATAAATGCGCAAAGTGGCGTCGCGTAAGCGCAGCCGGGTCGCCCGTGTATAAGCACACCCACGTACGCACGACTCCCCGGCCGCGCTCACCGACACGCGCACGCATTGCACACCCACGCGACACCCACGCACCGAGCCGCACACACATGCACACACGCATGCACGCACACACATTCGCTACACACTGCAGCGTATGCACACGGCCGAAAAGCAGCACGTAGAACGCGGTGCGCCCCTGGCGGCGGACCGTGCAAGCGACCCTCGCGAAAATAATTATCGCGATTTATGTTATTTGTGCAAATGTGATCCGGGAGCTTAATTAATTAGAGGCGATGCCGAGTAGCGGCGATTAAAGGTGACGGACAGGCTCCTGGGGCTAGCCGGCTTCGCCGTGAGTGCACTGGAACGGAGTGTCAGCGACGGCCGCGGCACGGGGTGAGTGTACGTACATCCGAGAATATGTTCCGCGTGTTCTTCCCCCCCGCGCGTTTCGAAAGGGGGGCGGTGGCTCGGCTCGCCCGTGGCCGGCCACTTTTTTCTCGACCCCACCGGCTCGTGAGAACGATGGCTGTGTGCGTCGCGCGGGAGAGAGAGTTCGTGAGCGTGCCCGATGTCATCGTCGTCGTCGTCGTGATGCTTGCCGCTGTCGCTCAAACGCTCGCGCCGACGACGATGAGCGACCCAGGCGGCCACTCGCCTCCTCTCTCTCTCTCTCTCGCTCTCGCTCTCGTCGTGGAGTCGCTGTCGACCGGGACGAATGACTCTGCGACGAGGCGCTCGCCGGGATGATATCTCAGCGAATCTGAACCGACTTATCGCGAGATGACGGTTGATTGAGATTATTGAGGTGTGTGTGTGTAGAATAATGTTATTATTATGAGATGCTCTCCTGTGTACGTTTCCACATGCCCGCGTGTGAGTCGGACCTGATTTAGTAGATATTTGTTCTTTTTATTGAATCAAGTTACTTGTACATGTTCTCCCATATGGTCTGCGTGATGTTCTTATTAAATTACTTCTCTACACACAGAATGGATCTGGCGGAAACTATGAAGAACATTGTAGCCAAGGGTATGCAAACAGAAATGGGTCCTCCAGGTGGAGGATCAGGCTATCCTGCTACACCGAGCAGTGCTGGCTACGTCACGGAGAAGATATACATGTTGTTACAAGCGTACTTGCAAAACAAAGGATGGAATCCTGGTATCGAGTTGCTGCAGTGTTTCACCGAGTTCAAGGACGCATCCATGATGCCGAGCGCAGCTTATTTACAGTAAGAAGATATTCTCTGCAGTGTTGGTTCGGTTTTACTTATGTTGTTTACATTGATACAAACTGCTGGACTGTTTGTTTGACAGAATGATGGCATCCAGGGTTGCATTGGACTCACAAGGGAGACTAGTTCTCCGTGAGAATGGAAAAATAATACTCCCCTATGAACACTTTGCCAATGCTGTGATGTTGAAACACATGAACGGCCCACACGGCTTACATCTGGGCTTGGAGGGTACAGTCAGAGCGGTAATGGAATCTTACACCATCGGTAGGGAGTGCTTCGGTATGGAGAAGGAGTTTATAATAGAAGTCGTGCAGAATTGCCCCAACCCGGCTTGCCGTTACTACAAGAATCAGCTGGAACTCACTCAGAAGATGGGCCACATGGCGCCCACTTACATCCAGGAGAACGAAGCGACCGCGTCTCTTCTACGTACTGGTTTCCCGCACAGTACGGACTTTCAAGCAGTAAGTGTGTATTGTACTCTACGATAAAAAACACACGCACATGTTCGCACATTTTGTTCATATATGCAACATTTCCTAGTGAAATATTGTGTGAAGTATTAATGCAAACAGGGTATTGACGAAAATGCATCCATTTTCGCTCGCGTATAGATTGTTTTTCAGCGTAAAATGGTCTTACATCTTACGAATTGCTTGTGCACATATGATTCTCGTGAAGATGCATTTATTATAAATGAACGTGTTCCATCTGGACGTGTAGATTTCATTTGCGCAAATCCTCTTCTTCACCGCAGACGCTGAGCAGTTCCAATCCGAACACGCACATGGGAGGAGGATCCGCGGCGGATTTACCGGAGATGAGGGGTGCTGGCAATCAAATGAATCTTCAACGTCCTCCAAGCCGTCCGTCATTAAATATTCCGCATCGGCCTGTATCGCAAGAGAAGAAAGTGCCGTCTGGCAAACAGCATTACGAGTCTCTATTGTCTAATATACCGATTTCCGACCACAAGCTGACAGACTTTTTACGCACCAATCTGGACAACCTGGACAATCTTAGCGGGCTCGGGTTAGGGAACTTGCAAGGACTGGGGAACGCTAATAAGGATCTGTTGGCACTGCATAACGGTGCATGGCCTTTGGAAAATGAGAAAGGATCTCGGTCGTCGTCAACAAATTCGGAAGGTGATCATAGCTCTTCGCAGGCGTTTCTCCGTCGGTTTCGAACATTAATATACGCGATTAATATACGCATGCATTCTCTCTTGCTGTCTCAGGTGGTCAGGAGAAGATTGTGCGCGCTTTCGCAGAGGTGATGAAGAACATGGCGAGAATGAAAGCTTGTGTGCGGCCAGCAATGTGCAAGCCATACGGCAAGCAGTCCGAGGCTCTGCAAAAAAGTAATAAAAATAGTCAAACTTTGCAGCGATCTTTTTCTTTTTCGTCGAGAAGTAGCTCAAGTTTCATATTTTTCTGTGTGTTTCGTCAAAGTACTCGGAACTTAATACTTCCCCTTTCTCGTCGAAGTTTGATACTTTTTCTTTTTTTTTCGAAATACAATACTTGTACTTCGACGGAGTAGTCGGCAAGGGTTCTCATATTGCTCGTTACTCGATTGCAGCATTGGTCGACACGATACAGCTTGTGCAATCGTTGAGAAGCTTCTTGCCGCCCCCGCATATTCCAGTCTCGAGCTGGAAAAACGACGATAAACACCGATTAGATCATACCGGTACTCCTTATATGTCAACGTTGTGAGTATCTTTATTTTTATCGTCATACTCTATCGTTTAACCTTTCAAGGACGGAAGTCGGCTTAAGCAAGCCAATCTGCATGAAGAAAGATCAGACGAAACAGCGCAAGAAAGGCACGTCGACAGTTTTTCAGTGTAAGATGGTTACAAGTGACATTTGACGAATTAGTTGTACATGTGCGATTCACAGAACTCGTAAAAATGTCTTATTGTTAACTCTAAGCTATTCTCGTCTAAGTGCAAATTTAGATTGCTCACTTGCGCGACTCCTGTCCTTAAAGGGGTTAGTAAGATGTTGGTGCGAAAGGTTTGTCAATTAAAGTAGATAGCGGAATCATCCAGCTTCGAAGGATCAGTAATTTTTGCGAGTAGACAACACTGACTCGACACATCTTTAGACATGCAACAAGGACTTTCTATTTTTCTTTTAAAATCCAAAATAACTCTCTACGAGAATTTAATAAAAAAGATGACAAAACTTTGGCATCGAGCTAATCAGATAACGAGACAATTCAACGGCAAGCAACATGTACACTTTTCGCCTTCTCTTTTCGACAGAAAAGCCGGTCCGATTGAAGAACTGTGCGAGCAGCGCAAGTTAGACTAAGCGTCGTCCTCGCTTCATTCGCGACAGACCGTGGTCGTCTCGTCTTTCGCGCTCTATGATGTTCTAGTCACAAGATGTTTATCGATTAGTTGGGTGTTTCGTATCTAAACAACCCGATGGATTGCTCAAAAGTTGTTGGCGTTTAGGACTTCAAATACTAAGAGACAAAATGGGTCATGCGTGGACTGTGATAAACGTGGGTAGCGAGAAAAAAAAAAGAAGATTTATATATAGGACTCTAAACTCACACACCGCGTCATTTTTACGACAGGCCCGTCCAAGCTTTACCTTTTGGTAAAATGTCTCGTGAGCGAAACGTTCCGCCCTCACCGTCGATAACAACGCGGCGCGAGCGGCTCCGGAACTACCCCCCGCAGCACGAACTTGGACAGGTCTGTCCGAGGGGATTCTTACTAGCGTTATTTTATCGTTGTAACTTGATTTTGCGTATCGCGTATCTGCCTATGGGGCTTATCTATCATAGTGCTTCGTTACAAGGCGAAAGTAATGCGAACTAATCGGGAAAATTCAACGTTACCAAGTGCCGAAGGCCGATCGAGGCTGCGTATAAATGATATATATATGCGCAGCGGTATGAGAGAGGAGAAGAGGGACGTATGAGAACAGCATTTATATTTTACTGTGTCGATTTAACGATTTGCCGCTTGTGTTCCCATGATTACCTGATTAATGATATATCGTAGAGCTTTTTTATATACATACTATGTATAAAATTGTTGAATGAGCGTATAAAGCCTAGTCGAGTTGAGATGGGAGCGAAGACTAAATTACGGGGCGGGGGGCCTGGTGCGAAAGAAACGGGAGAAAACGCACGAAGGGGGCTCTTTTGCTACTAAACGATATTTAACAAGTTCGCGGACATTATTTGGGACTGGTCGCGCGGCGGAGGGCGGGCAAAGGAACGATGTTTCCCCTCCTGAAGACCATCGAAGATATCTCGCGTTATTTCGTTTTTGTATGTTTTTAACTGTTTGTTACATATATAATATATCTCCTTTTAAAGTAGCTTTAAATTAAAAATGTAGGGGCGGAGTTATTCGACTGACGAAGGAGATTGCTGTGTTCAATTTGTGTATATATATTTTCTCCAAAAGGAAAAAAGGTATATGACATGCGTTATTATTTATTTTTAAGGATAAGATGAGCGTGTATATCGCGTTGTTACCTCTAGTACTGTTCGCTAGTCGCGTGAGCACGCGTACGAATGTTGAAGGGTTTGCAATACTCCGTTAAGCTCCATGGGCAGTGTATGTGCGGTGTGCACGTAAAAAAGAGAAAAAAGGGGGAAAAAAGAAGTCATTGGTCAATTCATAGGTATTTTTTAAGGAGGAAATTATTTCTTAATATATATATACATATAGCGAAGGGGAAAAAAAAGAAGAGAAGAAGAAGGAGAGAACGAAATCGTTGCATCATTAGCGGGATTCTTAAAGCGGTGTGATTCGCACTGACGCTCAAAGACTTTTCACCGTGCACTAAGTATTATTATTACGTAGAAACGTTTTTACCCTCGCGAGGGAGAAAAATGCGGGATCAGAGCGGGGTAGGGAGATTTGGGGGATCTATGCGTTTTTGTGATTTACAGTACATATACATCGATCGCGCTCGAGATAATCGGGTGGCATAAAACAAAAGCATAAATAAATAAATAAGTAAATAAGCAAACGGCATATCGTCGCAGGGGTAGAAACTGTTTCCCACACGATTGTTATAATATGCATTGTAAGCGATGGTAAAATGTTTCCTTCTTTCTCAATAATGTAAAGTTACCGGCATTCGTCTTTGAATGTAAGCAACATAAACGCGTGTACCGCGCAAGCAAGCAAGCAAGCAAGCAAGCAAGCAAGCAAGCAAGCAAGCAAGCAAGCAAGCAAGCAAGCAAGCAAGCAAGCAAGCAAGCAAGCAAGCAAGCAAGCAAGCAAGCAAGCAAGCAAGCAAGCAAGCAAGCAAGCAACGTGCAAAATAAGCGCGCGGCACTCGAGAGTGCGTGTGGGGCTGTGTTTCGTGATGCGTGTGTCTCTGATCGGTGAGAATGCAGAGTTTTGGCTATCAAATAGCGAAATTTTATATGAATGCGAGAGCGTATGTTGATGAAGAATATGTCTTTCTATACATATGTATCTGTTATACTATATATTTATTTATTACGTATGCAGCGAGAACGTATGTGCCGATCGATCACCAAACTAGGAGTCGGATCCGTGGTCTGAGAAATTATGCAATTATTATCGTTATCTCTCTTTTCCTCGCGCGCGTCGATTACGAATCTCTTATTCCCACCTCTTTCTCTTTCTCTCGGTCTACCTCTTTCTTTATGTTGTATTCGTTGTAACTGGAGAAACGGGAAGTATGATCGGGGTCGCAATGGCAATTCGCAAGTCCAGAATAATTCATTGTCGACAGTGGTTCTTTATTTTCGTCCCTTACGAGTGGATAGTGGTCTCTCGTTTTTTTTTTTTTTTTCCCCTCCCCATAAACGCACGCAGATCCGGCTTCTACAAGACTGCGTTTTTCTTTCCGTTGACATATACATATACATTGACAAAGAGGCTGCTGCTGCGCTGCTGCAATATGGTTCGTAATTCGACGATAACTTGTTGCACACCAAAGTGTATTTCCAATAACTAGATGGACTTATTTCTTATAGTAGTTATTATGTAAAAAAAGAAGAAAAGAAAGAAAGGAGAGAAGAAACGTACCGCCGTTTGTCTCTCGTCGCCGGTCGCGTGTGACCGGCGGCACAACTAAGCATATCCATGACTAAGTCACCGCAATTATGCCAAATGGGGAAAAAGGGGAGCGCGGAAACAGAATCTGACTGATTGCGAGAGGGGAGGATTGGTCCGACGTACAAAGTAAAGAATCTCGCCGAGTCGCGTGAAAAACTTGAATGGCTGCGTTCGAGATCACAAGGTTGAGCTAATTCCCCGCTCAGCGACGAGAACGTTTCTTGTGCGATTGGCCGGAGCAACCCGACGGCAGGCAGAGAGTCTGTGCGCTGGTTTCCTCAAGGGCGAAAGTCGCAGCACCACGGATACTCGGCTGCTCTTTAATCTTCGTTCTACTACTACGCATTTCGACGCACGACGCATTTCATCACAGCCGTAGCTTTACGTTGTACGTGACCCGCGATCACGGATAGACCGCAGGATAGATACTGGATTAAGCGCTCGGAAAGCCCAAAAGGACTCGTTCTCCTCAGCTCTAAAGCCCGACTCTACTTCGGCAGGATTAGCAGTTGCTGCGACTAACGTAACATTGTTACATTGTGCCTCACTCTGACACTTTTCCTTCGAACACATCACAGTTTGTGCTACATCCGCCTCCTGCATCGGTATTAATTAACGAATTATTAATTAATTGAAACAATCGGCGGAAAGAGATCTGGCCGTAGGTGGATGTTCTCGAACGCAGTCGGACGCGCGAACGAAAGGCATGGAAGGGAAATAACTACGGATTTCGTTTCCGGATCTCGTTACTCTCGCGCCATATCTATACCATAGACCGTGTACACGTTTCCGCACCGAATTCGACAGTAAGAATGATAAACGATGTAAAATGCGCACCGTCGTCGATCCGGTTTCTTTTTTAACACGGATCGCTTAATGATATTCGTACACCAAACGCTAACCGCTGTGTCTGCACATTTTAAGCTCGTCGTCGCTTGTCAGTATTGCTCTTCTGTATTCTCGCATAATTCTAACTCATGACAGCAATTATTAAAGTTTTTACAAGTGTGAGAGACCCGTGTCACTTTTCTCGCTCTCTCCCTCTTAACCCTCAGAGTGCGACACCAACGGTGCCTAAAGGCGTCCTCGCGCTTCATTAATATTAAGCTTTTCTCTTCTATTGCTGAACCAGCGCGCACTTACGGAGGTCAAGAAGAGACAGATATGCAAGTGGGACTTGCCGGAAGAAAGAGGCAGCAGAGAACCAAGATGGTGCAGCCAGTTCAACAATGGAAAACAAACATTGCAATGCGCGGAAGTGAGGCGTCTCGCGACGACTGCGTTAGTTTTGCATCACAAACAGCGATCTTGCGTCCAAGCGGCCCGCAGTCTAAGGGTTGAGACCCTCGCCTTCGCCGCGGGACTTGTGAATGATGACGTCAGAAAGGTGTTAGAAAGTAGTTTCTAATTCTTGCAGAAAATTCGTTAAAAGTTCTTTCGACGTACGCTTTCGACGTCCACAAAATGTGACTTGCCAACGGGTCAAGAAGAGATCCGTAATATCTCATAGATAATTTTTACATATTTCTAATAGATCATTTTTGTATATATCTTATAGATCTTCTTGATCGATCGCAAGTGGCATTTGATGGGTACCTTCTTATTTACCATTGCCCGAAGACTTTCTTTCGCTCCAACAATCGATTGTCGTCGGTCATACAACGACAACGAGAAACAAACGGCAGTAGCGTTTGCGTTTCTTTCCCTCTATTCTTTCTTCTTCTTTTTTACGTGAAACGATTGAAGTGACATGCAATCTATGTTCCCTCATAATTCTGTCACGTTAATTTTAATCGATTGTTGGGGCGAAAGGAAAGCGCTCGGACTGTTTTACAGATCCGCTCGACCGATATCGAGTGTCATTCCGCGAACGCTTTTTTTTATTTTAACGAAACCCGTAAGAATCTCCAAAGTACATTTCGCTTTTGACGTCATAACTCAAGGTCACCGCGGCGAGGAGAAACGGCAGTCTTAAGCGTTTTCTCGTATCAATTCCTCGCTCCCTTTATGCCCTTAAAAGTCTCTCCTCAACGAAACTCCGTCGTCCACCGTGACGAATTCGTAGGTGACCGGCTGCGCCTCCAGCACGAATATTACGTCGTCCAGGAAGTAATACGCCTGGCCCAGATCACCCTCGCAGAGGTACGGCAGTTTGCTCCAGGCGAGGCACCGCAGACCCACGGGAGTGAAGACCCGGTCGATCAGTCCGACTATCTGCGCCTCGAGACCGCTCCCCCGCACCGGTAGGTACTCCGAGGGCTTGTGGTTGCCCCTCTCGCCGACTTCGACGTACGGGCTGAACGGCAACACCAAGGCGACCACCAGTCTACCACCGGGCGCCAACGAGGTCCTCAGCAGACTCAGCAAGGTGTTCGGCCGGTCGCAGCGGTCGAGAAGGTTCAAGCAGAGGATGACGTTGAAGGGACCGGCTTCCTGGTGCCACCTCTCTACGTCCAGCACCCTGAACAATCGCACGAAAGCGTGAGCAGAGCGCATCTCGGGTGGGATCTCCTCCGGATCGAAAGGTAGACCCCGACAAAGGTGATACTTTTCTTTCGTCTCGCGTCTCTTTTCGTTTCCGCTATTACGAGGGGATGCGCGAAAGCTACTATTCGCACAGTCGCGCCCGAGTCCGAGATTTCAGCGGATCGCGCGGCCTCAGCGATGCAAATCGAAAGCGGAGCCTTGTACGTCGGTTAATTTTACACGGAGAGCAGCCGGAGGGTGCCGCTCTCTCGACGGAGGTCGTTCGGGTTCTGTGAAACGTCCGTTACGAGTGCGTCGCACCCTGCGGATCGCGCGCCGGAGGTCGGTCGGTCACTCGCGCTCATTTAAAATTCGATCGGTGACTCGCGCCGAGACAGTCTCTCACTGCTTCTCTCTCTCTCTCTCTCTCTCTCTCTCTCTCTCTCTCTCTCTCTCTCTCTCTCTCTCTCTCTCTCTCTCTCTCTCTCTCTCTCTCTCTCCCTCCCTCCCTCCCTCCCTCCCTCCCTCCCTCCCTCCCCCCTCCCCCTCCCTCTCTCTTCGACAACGCAATATACATACTGCATGCAGGTAAATGTTACTCATTTCAAATATTTCGTAAATTTCATAAATCTATCGCGAGTCATAGATATAAAATTTACTCGAAACACATTTTAAATGCTAGGCTTAGAATTTCGCGAAAAACATCAATGTTTCTTCATCGATATTTTATCGATGTTTCCTTTTCGTCTTCGATATTTTTCTCCTTACATATAATCCGCTAAAGCCAATTTTGTCATAATTTTTTGTAATCAAGTAATATTCAAAGAATCATATTTGACTTTGTATAAAATGATGGCACAAAACTTGTATACAAAGTGTCCGGAATCTTTTGGAAACGAAAAATTGTGAAGATTAATCAGATCAAACTGAGAAAAAAATCATGTATCATTTTGCAAAAATTGCAATAATTATTAAGTTATAGTTATAAGTTAAGTTATAGTTATTAAGTTATTAGTGATTAAATATCTTAAATTAGTAAATATTAAGTTATTAATGATTGAAAATAACCACATCTAGAGGCTTTTTGATGTAATTGATAACTTGAAAATTTGCGTACTTATTTGCAAAATGATAAAGAACTTTCCTTCTCTTTGATCGGATTAATCTTCACAATTTTTCGTTTCCAAAAGATCTCGGACACCCTGTATAAGCAGTAGTAACTTTTGCAACATCAACAAGACTATTTATATTATTAAGACGCGATTGATCTTAACTTAACAACAGGATTACCGAAACCAAAAATTTTATTTCAAATATTTTTTTTACAATCCATATAAATATAAATTTATGGGACCTATAAAAAATTTATATTTGCATAATAAATTTAATATGAAACGTAATTCAAGGGACATTTTTTAATAAAATTGATTCTAAAATTACATACTTTTACCATACGTGTATAAATATGTGTATAACATAAGAACTTAATTTTTAACAAAAACATCAATATCGACAAAATGCCGATGTTCTGAAATCGATATTTATCGAATATCGATATTGACTCGCTACCGTAACACCGGTATTGATGTCATTTTTGTCAATGTAAAATCCTACTTGCAAGTTGAATACTTTAATAAACAAAAACATCGTAAATTAAAAAGAGAGTATCAAATTAAGACAAAAATTTGGCTTATTTGTTTTTTTTTCATATAAAGCACAAGTTTTACAATAATCTTCTAAAAAGAATAAATCCTTACTTCGAGTACACGATAATGAGCTTTCCAAAATTCGCGATGAACAAATATTTCAAGATCATTATCAAGAAAATGTCCCTTGCTGGAAACAGGCATTGCTCGAAAGGAAACCGAGTAATCGAGAAACCTTCCTCAATAGCAGAATGATATTTTTCCCCGCACATACAGATACACACAAATCCACACACACACACACACACAGGTACGCGCGCGCGCGCGGTGGTGCTGAGGGCTGGTGTCCGCTCCGGGTGTAAAACCACCGTAAACTTCTACTCCAATCAATTCGGCGCAATAAACTTGTTAGTGGCGCACCGTGTAGGATATTACGTATCGACACGAGCGTCGACGAGCGCCGCTTACGACGTGTATGTGCGTGCGTGCGTGCACACGTCACCGGCTACGGGTTACGGCGCGAAACGGCCCCCCTTCCGATCAATTATCTTATCTCACTTTATAATGAACCCCACGTTTTTAAGATAACTATAATAACGATACGCGGCGAGCGGGCTGAGATGGGGCGGCCCCTCGATTCGTCCGGGGCGCGCGGCATAATTGCGCGCGGCTTGTGCATTATCGAGGGATCCGTATCGGGTGAGCCGCGAACGGCCGTATTGATCTCTCTCATCGGAACGCCGATTCGCGTCGGCATCGCGCTCATTTGCATAAATTCGACGCATTCTTCCGCTCGCTGTCGACGTGTGCGATCGCACACGTTTGGCTCGCGCGCGCGCGCGCGCGCGAGCCGGCGCGAGAGATTTATCGGGCCGCCGCGATTCACGATCACACTCGGTACTCTCGGCGAGGAGGTGTTTCCGACACCGAGGAACTCGGCGCTGCCGAGGCGAGCGAATAGTTTTCGAATTACAAGCGAACGAGGGAATCGGGCAGAACCGAACGAAGGGGAAACGGCGCTTTAAAACTGACGAGGATAAAATACGCGCGTCGCTCGAACGCGCGCGCGCGCGCGCGCGAATCCGCGCCGTACGGGACACGCGGCGGTGTGCGTGTCGCGCCGTTACGAGAAAATGCAAATATAGGAGCATTCAAGGAGCGGAGAAGATTCCACCGCCCACCTTTGGCCGCTCGTATTCGATTCGAAGAATGTAATCTGTTTCGCGTTCTCGCATATGTGACTCCACGCCCGCGAGAGCGCTTTGTAACTGAAAAATCCCCCCGCCCAGTCGGCGGGGTTTCTCGGGACGTTCAGATCGAATAGCCTTTGCATGCGCGTCCACGCACGATGATTGCAATAATAGTCGCTGCCCCGTGAACTATTCTCGTCGTGTGTGTGATTGTCAAAACGCGCCGGATCGCGTCCTCGTATCTACCGTACCTGTCAAGATTTATGCGCGCGGACAAAGAGATAAGGAAATCACTCGCAAGATTTCACGTGGCGACCTTCCTTCAAAATCGAGTTCTGCGTAAAAGCGATTTTCTCCATCTAAGATCGCCGTCTCTGGACTGAGAACAAGTTTTTTCGTATTCGTGACTCAGTCGCGTAATTAGAAATATATACTCGGAAAATTTCACAGTCGGAATCATTTTTGTAATCAGTGTCGCTATGCAGTGTTGATAGTAATCATTTTATATGCATATCGCCATTACTACTTTTTTATTCACCTAAAAACAAGTATTCCATTTGTAAAGTGATTTTTCCCATGATCTCATATTCTAAGCGAAGCCTTTCATAGAAAAAAAATTCCATAAAGCAATTAAAATGAACCATTCGTCTAAAGTTTATTAGATATTATTCTGTTTTCCTCTTATTTCAATAGAATTTCCTTTTATATCAATTAATTTTCCTCTTACATGAAGAGGAATATGTTGATTTGAATATCGGCTTCTTTTATTCAGTCGTGCTCTATTTCCAGACATGAACAAAAAAATAATTATATGTTCATGGGTCAAAATATTTGGAACGCTCTTTAAGAAAGATATTTGTTGCTGTACAACGAATAACGATACTGTATAACGAAGATAATTTACTCATATTTGGTCAAATACAATTTCTATCAATCTATCGCAAGAAGTTAAATAATATATCCTCTTTCTTAACTACGTTTCACACAATTGGTTATGATGAATCTTTGTAACTATGAAGTCTATAACAAATGACTGAAAATTTATTTGTTATGATAATCTTATTTCATTCGTGTCTACTTATTAGAACTGGAGCCAGAAGTACATTTATATATATACGAGTATATATATATATATATATTACTTTTCGCTATACATTATAATAAATTTTCAAATTAACTAATATAACCAGTAAGAATAAATAATAATCCTCTTAAAAAAAGATTAAATAATCTGTATATAAGAGGAAATTTATATTAATCAATTAATAAAAATCAATAAAATTTGCATTATACATATAACATATAATCCCCCTCGCTTTAAAAATAATGTGTTTATAATATTTTCCTCTTAATCTTAGAGAAATCCTCTATATAAGGAGGCCATATATATAAGAAAATTCTCTCTAAAATTTCGATGATTCCGCTTGTCCTGAAATTACTCTTTTTTGGATGAATTATATCGACACTCTCGAAGTTATAATTTTAACGAAATTAATGCCTTTTTTCTCAGTGTATCGAGACGAACCGCTGTCAGTTTCATTGCTGTCATTATTATTATTATCTTAAGGTGGAAACCTCTTCTCGGCAAGGGTTAGAGACAAAATTTACGTACGTAAACTTCCTCCTCGCTAGAACCCATCTCATGGGGGGTGAGATATCCGTGGCGTATACCTTCTCGAAGAGATGCGCCACGTGGGCGGTGGTTGCACCGTCGCCTGCCCCGAGGTCCACCAAGGAATGCCAAGGGCCCGTGAAGCCGCTCGCGTCCATTAGCTTTTGGAATTGCTCGCTGGAGAACACGTGCATGGAGCCGCGGCCCAGCAGCCTGTAAAAATGCGGGAATAACTTCAGACGCGACATCCCGTGTTACATACACATGGAAGAAACAAACAGTTAATCTCATAAAAAATCATAATTATTTCCCACGTCAACTATATCTTTTTGTTCTCCTTAACAAAAGGGCAGTAACTACGAAAGTGTATTGTATTATACAGGGTGCTAAGTTTCAAACGTAACAGGTAAAAAATCTCGAAAACTATGAAAGATATTAAAAGAAGCTGAAACGTGTGTTCCATGATTTCGAAGGGGAAAGAGAATGGCATTATCAGTTTTGTATTTGGAGGACATTTTCAAGGTCAGTTGAAGCTCAACTTAATTTTTAAAATAGAAAGCCCAATTTTTTATTATATCTTCTTTTTCTACTAATTAATTTTAACAACTTTTGTCTGAAACATTTTTTTATTTGTCTAATATTTTTTGAAATATTTAAGGAAAACTTGGTAACTTTTTCAACATTTAATTTAATAATTTTAAAATTTCCAAAGGTCGATAAGTTAACAAAAGTTAGGGCACTATTATAGTAATATATTTTTGATAGTAAATAAAGTAAAAAAGTCTGATACTATTTTTCCTTTCGACGAATAGTTAGCGAGATATCGTAAGTTAAATGTTGAAAAAATTACCAAGTTTTCCTGAAATATTTAAAAAAATATTAGGCAAAAAATGTTTCAGACAAAAGTTGTTAAAATTAATTGGTAGAAAAAGAAGATATGATAAAATATTGGGCTTTCTATTTTAAAAAATTAAATTGACCTTCAACTGACCTTGAAAATGCCCTCCAAATAAAAATCTGATAATGCCATTCTCTTTCCCCTTTGAAATCATGGAACACGTGTTTCAGCTTTTTTTAATATCTTTCATAGTTTTCGAAATTTTTTACCTGTTACATTTGAAATTTAGCACCCTATATAGTGGTTGCTGCAAAAACGGTTCTCCGGTCGGCCGTAATTCTTCGATCACACGGAAGAAACAATTGCAACGAAACTTTTCGTCATCTGGGACTAAATAAGAAATTCGATTACGGGAACAGTAAGATTCCTATATTATATATTAGGTTGATACAAAAATAATTGCGATTTTTACATATCGGGTACAGAAACGCGCATATATCACTCAAAAATTTATATTTATTAATCAAAATAAAGACCATTGGCCTGCGCACATTTCTCCCAACGGGAAACAAGTTTGTTTATTCCTACAAGATAGAATTCTGGAAAAGATAATACGTAGTAACTAGAAATATCGGCGTCAAACTTGAAATGATAAAAACCGTAATTATTTTTGCACCAACCTGATATATTCTGTGATTCTTGAAGACGGTGTCGAGTTATCGCTACGTTACCACTGCGTACAACATGTGACGGAAAAAATGCGTAACGATAACAGCATTCTCATTAAAAGTCACCGAACAGAGGTGCCGTCGGAGATTCCCGATGAGTCAATTGTTCCTCATCATCTCAACTTTCGAGTTTCGATATAGCTGAGCGTTCAACTTTTCGGCCGCGGTACAAGAGAGAGCTCTTCATTGAGCCTTCCAGCTTTCTTTTCCATGTTTAGTCACAAGAGGATATTAAGAACATTTTTCCTCGACACACACACACAGGACGTCGGTCTCCTGACGGAAGTATCTCTCACAGCGTCTAATATCCTGCCGTCGCATCTAATTCCTTCCGGATCATCAGCCGATGGCATCGTCGAGTGCTCGCTGAGACTCGAAAAATTCGCAGCGAGATAAAGATCGGTAAAGACCGACCGGTAAGGATCGGCGGGATGGGGACGGACGTGACGGGATAACAAGGATTAACGAAGGCGGGAGGCAGGATTATGCAGACCCTCGTGCACTGTGCCTGGCCGTGATACTTTAAGCTGAAACTTACGAGAGGGCTAAGGCGCAAGGCAAATCGCGTAACAACGTAATGCGATATAGGCCCGCGCGCTCGGATGATGGCCGCGCTACTGACGTTATCATTAACCGCTTTTACTGCATATTACCGGTCGATAATGCATCTTCATTTCGCCATGAAACTTTACGAGCCCGGCCCAGCTTAATTAGGTCCGTTACGAGGCGCATAATCGCCGCGCATCCGCGTGTCCCCGCTTACATTCTTTCTCCCGTATAACCCGTCGAGGAACGTCGCGGACTGCAGCGAGTCCGAAATTATCCGGCTCGACACGACGCGACGGCTTGGAATCGCTGATGATCGGCAAAACGAGTATCCCGTAAACTACGATTGCGCGGCGATTTTCCTCAGACGTTAGCGCACGGAACGTTAACGTCTCGCCCGCGCGCGCTCCGCGCGAGTTGTGTTTCCCTGAGTGAACATTGATTGAATACAAAACGAACAGCCGCGTGTCGAAAGCTCCCTGTGCGACTTGTGCAATATGCTGCAAGCTTTAAACGGAAGACTGATAAGCAGCGCTAAACTCATCAAGCGTCTCGACTTATATTCGTGTGCGCAGGCCGTCTGGTAATCCGTGCCCTCTATTTACAAAGAGTCATTTCTTTTCAATTTCTCATCTTTCTCCATCGATATTTTTCGAGACTCGACTCGAACAGTGAAGCTTTCGCGAACTGAGCTCCGAGCGATCGAATGGATAACAAAATTACTTTCCTCCATCAACTGGTATCAATTTGAGGCTTTATCGCAACAATTTTAATCTGAGGTCTAGCTTCGCAGATATCGTCGTGAACAATAACTCGATACTTTCGTTAATGAAAAATTTGTAAAACAATTCGTGAGAAAGAGCGTAGCGTAAGGAACGCGAATTATGGGTCACCGTATACACGCCGAAAAATTGAACATTTCACTCCAACGGCTAAGCCAGTGTATGGCTTAATCCAGCGGTGTATAACCGCAGATTTCGATCGCGGATTCATCCGCACGTATCTCAACTACATCTTTAAGAGAGCGAATCTATAAACGATTCTCAGAGCGCTCGCCGATGCCCTTCCGAAAAAATAACTTACGTCCTACCGCTCTTTATGCACAGAGCGCTATATGCAAGTCCCAATCTCGCCTCTTTCTCTCTCTCTCTCTCTCTCTCTCTCTCTCTCTCTCTCTCTCTCTCTCTCTCTCTCTCTCTCTCTCTCTCTCTCTCTCTCTCTCTCTCTCTGTCTCTATCTATCTCTCTCTCTTCGCTATATCGATCGACCGAATGAACGAGTGAAGAGAAGCGCGCCTGCATATAGAAATCGAATCCCCGAGGCACATCCCCCCGCGGCAGCAGGTTGCCCCGCAGAATCCGTCGATGTCATCTGGGGGGTGGGTGAGCGCGCGAGAAAGAGAGTTGGAAAGAGAGAGAGAGAGAGAGAGAGAGAGGGAGACCGAGGGGGAGGGGGAGGACGGCTGGCTTCCGCCCCCATTCCTCAAGCTCTCTGCACACCGCGGCGGAGGCACATCGCGAGGAGGAAAAAGGGGCGGGTTCATTTGAAAATACCAGAGTCGTCGGCGCGCGTTGCGCGCCCGGCGATCCATCAATGCCGCGGAACGCGGGATTTTGATCGTGAATTCGGCTACCTCCGGCGTTATAAATAAGGCGATGGTGGTCCAGCAGCGGCTGCCCTCCTGCTCCTCCTCCTCCTCCTCCTCCTCTCTGCCCGCTCCGCACGTCGTCCGTTCCGATTCCTCCTCCTAACATGCCCCCTTTCCCTCCCCCCCGCCTCCTTGCCGCTCTTTTCTCTCTCTCTCCGCTCGCTTACCCCTTTTCTCCTTCTTCCTTTCCTTCTTCCGCGCTGCCGCCGCTCGGCCATGGCCGGTGCCATCAATTAACGAGCACCTCCCGGTCTCCATTGAATAATAAACGAAAATAAGAAGGAGACGGAAGAAGGACGAGAGCGTGGCGAGCAACGGAGACGAAGCGGACGCGGAGGACGGGGCCCGGGGGTAGCGGAGCGGCATAGAAGGGAGGGAAGCGGGAGGGAAGCCGCGGACCCGGTTGGAGCATTGTTCGTAGTATCGTCCGGCTTCTCTCTACCTTGTTCCTTCTTCTTTCTGCGGATCCTTAAGTCACCCCTTTCCCCGCCCGCTCGCTCGCTCTGAGCGTCCACGAGCGTGTTTCCTCCGTCTTTCTCGCTCCAGCTGCTCGCCACTCACCTTCGTGTCGCGCATCCTCCTCCTCTCGCTCTCACCCCTTATTCCCGTTTTCACTCCTCCTCATTCTTCTCTCTCTCTCCTCTCTCTCTCTCTCTCTCTCTCTCTCTCTCTCTCTCTCTCTCTCTCTCTCTCTCTCTCTCTCTCTCTCTCGTTCTTTCTCTCACCTACCTGACCTCACCCTCTCGCCCTTTCTCTCCGAGTCTTTCCATCCTCCTCCTTCGCGCGCGCGCCCGTGCGTATCCTCTCCTTTTCTGGGCTTGTTTCCATTGTCAGCCACCACCACTACCACCACCACCATCACTACCATCAGCACCACTACTACCATCTCAATACGGTCGCATCGTCGTCGCAGCCTTCGTCGTGGCCCGTCAAGAGGGAAAGAGCGAGAGAGAGAGAGAGAGAGAGAGAGAGAGAGAGAGAGAGAGAGAGAGAAAGAGAGGGAGGGTAGAAGGGAGAGAAGAGAGACCTACGCGCGCATCACGCGCGCGTGTGGCCGCGGTGATATATACGCGCGGTCCACAAATCAGGCCCGCAGATCGTAGCGGCTTCGTCGGCGGCGCAAGCGACAATTAATTCGCCGCTTTTGCCCTCAGCGCTCCTGCCCCCCTCGCCCCAGCCCCGAGGCTGTATTGTGTACGCGTAGCCGCTCGTATGCGCAGCCCCCCTACCCCTCTCCGTTCAACGTGATTCTGGATTTCCTCCCGCGCCTCGTGTTTTCTTTCTCGGTCTCCCCTACTTCCAGGATCCCGGGCGTGTTCTGCTTTATCGGGCCGCCACGGTCCCTTTTCGCCTCGCTTCGGAGCTGTCCGAGGCTGCAGCCGTAAAAGCGCGGCTTTAATTCGGGCCCGGCGTCATGCGGTCTAGCGACGCGGCCGCGCACGCCGTCGCGGCT